ACTCAAAAAGTTATGAAAATGCCATAAATAACAGTCAAGTGGTCTTTACCCAAAATAACTGCTATCACTACATAAAACTACTAACAGTGGCACTATTAACCAACTACTAATAACTCAAACTGCTGCATGTTTGGCAAGCTGTCTCTTATCAGTCGCTGTCTTGAGCTAAGAATAACATAACAGATCAAACACAAACATGTAGAAAAGGAAATTTGAAGCAGAGTTTCCAACTGTTTGTGAAACAGCAGTAAAAGTTTTTCAGATTTCGCAAGAGGGTTTCCCTGTATAACCTGCACAACACAATACTGTAGCTTTCTAATTTCCGGTTAGATACAAAAAAAAAATTAAATAAAAGTGGGAAGATTTTTTGAAATAAGCAAACTCAGGCAGGCCATGAATTTCTAGAGCATAAAAATGTAAATGTTTGGTATAAATCACTTTAAGTCCTACAAGTCCTAACACTTAATACAGGAGATCATTTCATCATTAACAACCACAGTTTGTGTTTTTTGTTTTTTGGCAAATATAAGATGCCCTACAGTTCAAAACTGTTTAAATTTATCAACAACAACAACAACAACATACATACATAACATATACAGGATGTAAAAATGCATACTGAATTCCAGCTAAAGAGAGAATATGCCAAAGCAAAATTGTTTCAACTATGCATACAAGTAAATATATCAGCTTAAAAATATCATTCCACATACTAATACACATTTACATGTTTGCAGCATTCAGAGCAAATCAATATTTAGAGACACAACATTTGTTTGGATGGCCTTGTGAAACAGCAGTTCAAAGGTTTTTCTCATATGACAAAATAATATGACAATGAACACTGAAGAATTTCCTTAACAATCATACTAAGGCAGTGCCTAAATTACCAGTGTATAAAAGTGAAAGTGTCCAGCCCACACATTAGCATGACACATTCAAAACATGACGACTTCTTACCGCATTTATCCTACACAGTACCTACACACGGTTATAATTTTCTACCATTTTGCATAAGAAAACCTTTACTACATTAAAATAAATGATGATGAGTATAGTCAATTGGATATACTGTATACAACAATGATTATAGCCTTCACACACAAACTGATTAGTGGCAGGCTGATGGCCTGGCCATTACATGTTTGTGGAGCTGCTGACCCAGTTTAAAGCAGGACATACCTCAGAGTCCAGTAGCACGCCTGTCTTCTGGCAGCTCATATCGGGGCAGGTGATAGGTGCCCCTCCACCCTCAAAAATGGCCAGCTTAACATACTGCTGCAAGCACTGTGCACAAAAAAGAAACATGGGCACACAATCAATTCATTTTATTTATGTTTTTAAAGGATTAAAACTGATTGTGAAAATGGGGCAAAGCATTTTGTCAATTCATCGTAAGATATTAAATGGTTTGATTGTGACATAATTTGTAGGGGAAGTGTGCTGTATTGCATAAAGGCATTTTTAAGGAACAGAAAATAAAATGCCACATTTTGGCAAAAAAACCACAATATGATAGATCTGATTAATTACCACATGTTTATGTATCATGATTTAGGGGCTGTTTACATGGACATGAGTTTTCTCAAATCTGTATGGTTTTTATATCAGATAATATAATGATAATAATGATAATAATACCTTTGGTTTGCCCTTGCTACACTAAAAGCAAGCAAGTCTCAATCTGAGGAGTAGGATACAGCTCTAATCAGAATGAATTTCCCAATAGAGAATCTATTTTAAGAAATCAGAAGAGTTTGTGAAGAAGCCCAGCACAAGATATTTTACCAGACATGCTTTGTTTTGTTAGTTTTTTTAACAAAATTTTCCAAAAGCAATCTTTGGTGTTTCTTCATTAAACTGCCCACATACAATGACTTAAACTGTGAGCAAACCACATGAACTAAATATAGTTCTATGTAAAAATGAAAATGTCTGCGTTATAAACAATAATATTACAAATAATAATAAATAGTTGGTTCATTAATGACAATTAATATTATGAGGTGGTTCAGATTTGTGTTAGTTTATCAAGAGTTTGGGTTAGTCGAATGCTTAAAAGAAGAATAAAAATGGATTGGGGATCTTTCGAAGCAACACAAGTTGGGAGACATTCAGAATTGGATGTTTTTCACACACTACCATGACAATCAGAGGGGATGGCAAATTTGAGCCATAATAAAACATGAAATGCATTAGAGACAGGAATGCATTAGTGAAGGGCGAAAGTCTGTTGTAATATTGGTATTAGTGGATATCAATATATTTTTTGGGATATTGGTATTGTCCGATATCAATATTCAATAACTTTTTGTCATAAGTAAAAATGTAAATGGAAGAGCAATTAGGCTGAAAAACATGTCTGTAGGTTTACACAAACAAATATGTATACATAAATTATTTTATAGTTCAGACACATACATTTTATTGCTATTTTTACAGTGAAAAGTTAATTCGAGATTTTTACTTCAACTTAAGATAAAATCCATAGCAAAGCCCACAAAATTAAAAGCTAAATATGGGCATCAGGAAATATCGATTATCGGCCACAGCAGCAGGTCAAAAATGTAAATTAGTATCGGCCCATCCCTAAAATGACCAAGGTAAATGTACTGAACTCACCGCTGTACAGAAAATGCAGTTGCAGTTCAGCAGTTCCTTCATGGCTGCAGAGGGCTGCTCCATAAGGCAGAGTTTGCAAAAAACTTCACAAGCTCTCTTCTCTGGGCTAGTTCCCCTCTTTGGGCTCGTTCCCCCCTCCAGACTAGTTTGTGTTACCGGGCTCGCTTGCATATCTAGGCTAGCTCTCCTCTCCAGGCTATCTCCTCCGGTTGGGGTAGGACTCTTCTTGTCCATGTTTGAATTTAAGATTAGAGTTCTTGAGGAAAAGAACAGACCGGTCCTAGCCCTTCTGCAGCAGAGAAAATGGTTGTGCCATTCTGTTGTTCTTGAACCCTTAAACAAGACAGACAATTATTAAAACGCACACACACTAGGAAAACCAAACCAGACCTTAACAGAAAAGTTTGTCCATAATGGGTGCACTGCAACTAATCCTTGTGAATCCAACAAATGTGGTGCACTCAGATGCCCTCACAATGTTAATGCCTCGTGACTGTAATAATGGTTTTGTCACCACTCAAACATGAAGGTGTGTGACAAAGAGATAATGTGACAATGACCATTAATTTATAATGTGATCGTTTATGATTTAACTGTTTTGTAATAATTGTGTTTGCTGCTACCTTGGCAAGGTCTTTCTTGAAAAAAAATCGGACTCTTATTTTAAAAAGATTTTTTAAACATGTCATTAAATAAGCAACATAATTATTTTAGGCCACTATTCATGCTATGTCTTTACAGACTCAACAAAAACAGGTAGTTATATCTTTTGGAAAACAAACTAAAAGATCATGATTGTGACAGTGACAGTGTTTTTCAGCCCCAAAAGAAAAAAGTCCATAATCTTGTGAGTGAATTCTCCAGGTAATGTGGCAAGGGTCATACTATGGCTTCTGCAGCTATAGCAGTGAGAAATGGTAAATTGTCACATTTTTATATAGCGCTTTACCACCTTCAAGGCACTTTGCCATCCATACACACACATTCATATGCCAGTGTACACAGATACTGGGGATGAGGGGGGTTAAGTTTCTTGCCCAACAGCACAGCATTCAAGTGTGGGTGCTGGAATCACATCAGTCAACCAGTGGGTCATTGGATCTGACTCCTCAACTTATGTTTACATTGAGAGCGGGATTCGAACCACCAGCCTTTGGATCAGTGGAGAAACATTCTACCAACCAAGCTACTGTCACCCCAGCAGCTCACACATGTCGGTTGGCTGGCAGAAGATGTCACAGCAAAGCAAACACGCCAGTGGTTAAGTAAAGACTTCACGCCTTGTTCTTATGCTATGAATTCAAAAATTAATGCATGCAAATCAGAGACTGTGGGTTGTCTGTTGTTCTGTGCAAATTCAGTTTTCTGCACAGTCACTGTGTGATCCAATGCAATTCTTTCCTTCGGGCAGGGCCAAATGGATGCAGCTGCAGTCAGCAAACCACAGCACATATAGAGTATATAGGAAAATAACAGGTTTGAAAATGAGGCTTTACAGTGTGACCAACAATAGTCCTTCTGCAATACTGCACTTGTTAATGAATGCTGTTAAATTGGAGTTAATTTGTAGTTACCAGTTGGAATAAAATAATGCTTTAAGCAACGTTGCCTACAATGTTTGGTATAAAAGATATTCAGATAAAATAGATAATAACCACCATGTGTGTTTGTTTTTACTACTCCTACTTGTTATAACTGTTGTTGGACATAATTTCATTGGCTGGGATTTCAGTGTAATAAAAAAAAAAAAATTGATGGCAAACTTCATGGGGAGTGCAGCTGGGCTGGGGCATAAAGTGTAGAGTACGATTTTAGCAGTGTAAAGCATAAAGCCATTCTGTCTCGTTCAATTTAAGAACCATCACATGGATTCCAACAATAGTCCTTTATACAATCTCAGCAGAGGTCGATGATTAAAACGTGCCTATGACATTTAAAACTAGTCTAACCAAAATGTGCCGTATGTTACAACCATTACTATAACTGCAATATCTCAGAAATGTGAATCATCTGCAGACTGCATGCCATACACCAAGGTTGCATGCAGACAGCCTAGGTAGGTGGGTGGGATAGGTTAACATCTCTTTGGCGCATTTGCAAGCTGTTATTGTATAATGTAAACCGCAAAGGGCGGCAAACTCGGGATAGGTAGAGCAAAGTATTTATTATGGGTAATATTTATGGGCTTACCTTGCATGTGCTTTCACCACAAGCTGTCTGTACGAAGGGGACTACCCGTGTCTACATCCAAAACCGCATTGCACTCACATGGGATTTTAGCGCTTGTTTAACCGCTTCAGACTAGTGTCAGTGGAAATACGTCGATTGTCGTTGCCTGATGTGCAAAGATGAATTCAAATCCTGGACAAAAACATATTAAAACGTTCGTCTTTCTGCTCCTTGGGTGTGTGGACGATCCCTGCCCTTCTCGTCAATGCGTGTTGTTTCCATCCAGGAAGAAGCGCTACAGTGAGTGGCACAGGGCGGGCTCTCCCCGCTCACGACTGCTCCTTCTGGCTGCTTGACTGCACTGCAGTTAGTAAGCGGACGACTGGACATCTATTTGCCTAAATTTATCAACAATATGGGACATTTATGGGACTACTCCAGTAACCCTAGTCAGAGGGGTTACATGAATAGGATGTGGAAGAAATGGTTCCTTTGAAACCCACAGTCCAAGCTGTGGTGACCATTGATTAGTCCCCTCAGGTTATATACTGACTTAGAAGTGTTGAGAATGGACCATGTTACATGCGCTTTTCACAACTGTATTTATACCAATCATCCCAACCTGGGTGTGTCCCAGCTTTGAATTTAGAGAATATGGTCAATTTGGTCAACCATGAGAATACTCACCATGGAAACGGAGAGAAGGGAGCCCAGAAAGCAAAGAAAAAACAAGTACCCAAGAGGTACCGTCAGATGCCCATATCTGAATTGCCAAACAAAAGCTTGCATGATGCTCAGTGGCTAGTGGCCCTGAAAGAAGACTATAGGAAGTTAACCTCCATGAACAAAATCCAGTCACCATCACAGTGGCACACATCTAGGAAAAAGTGTCAGGTATGAAAAACTGAAACGTCCTAGGCCCTGACAGGATTCAGCCTAGTGGGTAAATAAATGGTACCATCCTCATCCTGAAGGACCCCTCAAAGGATACAGTCACATCCAAGTATCGGCCAGTAACCCCTCTTTCCATAACATGGAAGCTCATGTCAGGCATCATCGCGGCTAAAATAAGTGGATGCATGGATCAATGCATGAGCACAGCACAGAAGGGCACAGGCAAAAGGACCCAAACACTAGCTCCTGGTTGACAGCTGGCCTAGACCACAGAACCCGTCAGACCAAACAGTGCACCGCCTGGATTGATTACAAAAAAGCCTATGAGTCAATGCCGCACACATGGATCATTGAGTGCCTGGAGCTGTACAGCATCAACAGGATTGTAAGAGCCTACATTGCAAACTCGATGGGGTTGTGGAATTCAATGAAGCAGGTGAAGCCAATGGCAAGCCACTTGCACACATGTCCATCAAATGTGGAATATGCTAAGGAGACGCACTGTCCCCACTAATGTTCTGCATGGGTCTGAAGCCCCTCAGCTATATATGTATATTATATATAATACCTACAATAAGCAAGTGCTAAGATGTCAGCCCAATGACAACAGCAAGACCCAGGCAATAAACAGCTACACTCTGCCAGTAATCAGATGCCCAGCAGTAATTATAAAGTAGTTAAAAGGTGGAGACAGAGACCACAGATGTTAAAACACGAAAGCTCCTGATCCTGATAATGCATGGAGGGTTCCATCCTATATTGCCTAGAGAGGGCTGGTCTGAAGGACAGTACTGAGGCACTAACCCTGGCTCTACAAGAGCAGGCCTTAAGCAGCAGAGCAACAGAGGTCCAGATCTACAACACCAATTAAGACCCAAGGTGTAGCCTGAGGCAGTCAGCACATAACTGCAGGTGTAAGATGCTGGCAGGGAAAGAATACATGGAGTGAAAAAACCAAGAGGTGGGCATAGTGTGCAGAAAATTCTATAATGGAGAATGACCAAGCCAAGATCTGTCCAGATACAGACTGACAGAAAGATGATGGTGAACCAATCTGACAAAGAACAAAGGAAACTCGTTGTTGCCAGTGCAGTACCAAGTGTAAGTGATGGGAACATCAGGAAAAGGGCACATGAAAAACTAAAGAAATACTAGGGGCTCAAAGAGCTGGAGAAGTTCTAGAAGGTGTTTGGAGATGGTCAATGGTCACATTTTATATAGCATTTTTCCACCTTCAAGGCAATCAAAGTGCTTTGAGATGACTGTAGTTTTATGTGCAGTACATAACTAGCCTAATACAGTGCATTATTAAAATAATGTTTTATTTGTGTGAATTGATATGGCCAGGAATGTAATCTACAGTAAATAATATGTGGTTTTGTTTTGTGTTAGAGTGAGTTTGTGTGTTTTTTGTTTTCATTTTGGTATCACTGTTGCAAAATCTTTTAACTAGTGGTAGGTTTCACTGTCACAATTCCTGAAAACACCCTTGGTCTGAGTGCTTACGTCTAGAACCACAAAAAAAGAAGTGAGGTTATGACATGGCAGAGTTCAGGTATAAAAGACATTCTGGACAGAAAAGGAATCATTTCAACTGTACAGTGGTGGAAAGAGTAATTAAAATAGGTACATACATATGTACATATCATAGAAATTGTACTCAACTACAAGTAAGAGTTGCTGACCAATGTGTACCATGTTCAAAATAAACAGAATTAAAGGAAAAATACAGTTGTAGTTACAAAATTTTTATTTTTAAAACAATGGTAATAGTCCTTTTGATTACTAATTAAAGAAAACCTGATCAATGAATTGTTTAATATTAATTTAATTGTTGGGTTTTTTTTTTAAACCCCCCTCCTTGAACCGTCACCTTATCGTGGTGGAGGGGTTTGAGTGCCCGAATGATCCCGGGAGCTATGTTGTCGGGGGCTTCATGCCCCTGGTAGGGTCACCCAAGGCAAACAGGTCCGGGGGGACGGGTCAGACGAAGAATGGTTCAGAAGCCCCTATGATGAGTACACCAGCAAGGCCAGTTACGTCGCCCGGATTGGCGTCACCGGGGCCTCACCCTGGAGCCAGGCCTGGGGTAGGTGCTCGCCAGCGAGCGCCTGGTGGCCGAGCCTCCCCCCACGGGGCTCGGCCGGGCTCAGCCCGAAGGAGCGACGTGGGGCCGTCCTCACGTGGGCCCACCACCCGCGGGAGGAGCCATATGGGGCCGGTGCAGAGAGATCTGGGCGGCAGTCGACGGCGGGGGCCTCGGCGACCAGATCTCCGGACATGGAGACTAGCTCTGGGGACATGGAATGTCACCTCGCTGGGGGGGAAGGAGCCTGAGCTTGTGCGGGAGGTTGAGCGTTACCGACTAGATATAGTCGGCCTCACCTCCACGCACAGTTTGGGCTCTGGAACCCAACTCCTTGAGAGGGGCTGGACTCTCCATTTCTCTGGCGTTGGCCGCGGGGAGCGGCGGCGGGCTAGTGTGGGCCTGCTCATTGCCCCACAGCTCAGCGCTGTGTGTGTTGGAGTTCACCCCGGTGAACGAGAGGGTCGCGTCCCTGCGCCTTCGGGTCGTGGACAGGTCTCTCACTGTGGTGTCGGCCTACGGGCCGAACAGCAGTGCAGAGTACCCGGCCTTCTTGGAGTCCTTGGGAGGGGTACTAGACAGTGCACCGACCGGGGACTCCGTTGTGACACTTGGAGAGGGGTGATTGGGAGGAACGGCCTCCCTGATCTGAACCCGAGCGGTGTTTTGTTATTGGACTTCTGTGCTAGTCACAGTTTGTCCATAACAAACACCATGTTCGAGCACAAGGGTGCCCATAAGTGCACGTGGCACCAGGACACCCTAGGCCGGAGGTCGATGATCGACTTTGTAGTCGTGTCATCTGATCTCCGGCCGCGTGTCTTGGACACTCGGGTGAAGAGAGGGGCTGAGCTGTCAACTGATCACCACCTGGTTGTGAGTTGGGTTCGCTGGCGGAGGAGGAAGCCGGAAAGACCTGGCAGGCCCAAGCGTGTAGTGAGGGTCTGTTGGGAACGTCTGGCGGAGCCCTCTGTCAGAGGGACCTTCAACTCGCACCTCCGGGAGGACTTCTCCCGGATTCCGGAGGAGGCTGGAGATATGGAGTCCGAGTGGGCTTCATTCTCGGCCTCTATTGTCAATGCGGCTGCTCGGAGCTGTGGGCGTAAGGTCTGTGGTGCCTGTCGCGGCGGCAATCCCCGAACCCGGTGGTGGACACTGGAAGTAAGGGATGCTGTCAAGCTGAAGAAGGAGTCCTATCGGGCCTTGCTGGCTCGGGGGACTCCTGAGGCAGCTGAGGGGTACCGGCGGGCCAAGCGTGCTGCAGCCCGTGTGGTCGCAGAGGCAAAAACTCGGAGCTGGGAGGAGTTCGGGGAGGCCATGGAGAAGGACTATCGGACGGCCTCAAAGAGATTCTGGCAAACCGTCCGGCGCCTCAGGAGGGGAAAGCAGTTCTTCACCAACACTGTTTACAGTGCGGGGGGGGGGGGGCTGCTGACCTCGACTGGGGACGTTGTCCGGCGGTGGAAGGAATACTTTGAGGATCTCCTCAATCCCACCGTCACGTCCTCCGAGGAGGAGGCCGAGGCTGGGGACTCGGAGGCGGACTCATCCATCACCCTGGCCGAAGTCACTGAGGTGGTTGGCAAGCTCCTTGGTGGCAAGGCTCCGGGGTTGGATGAGATCCGTCCTGAGTACCTGAAGTCTCTGGATGTTGTGGGGCTGTCTTGGCTGACACGCCTCTTCAACATCGCGTGGCGGTCGGGGACAGTACCTCTGGACTGGCAGACCGGGGTGGTGGTCCCTCTGTATAAGAAGGGGGACCGGAGGGTGTGTTCCAACTATAGGGGGCTCACACTCCTCAGCCTTCCCGGTCTATGCCAGGGTACTGGAGAGGAGAATTCGGCCGATAGTCGAACCTCGGATTCAGGTGTGGTTTCAGGACCAGCTCTGCGGGTGCTCGAGGGTTCATGGGAGTTTGCCCAACCAGTCCACATGTGTTTTGTGGATCTGAAGAAGGCATTCGACCGTAGTATGGGGTCCGGGGCCCTTTGCTAAGGGCCGGTCCCTGTATGACCGTGATAGTAGTCAGGATGTTGGACTCCGCCAGGGCTGCCCTTTGTCACCGGTTCTGTTCATTATGGACAGGGCGAAGGGGCCGGTCATTTCATCTGCTGTTTGCGGACGATGTTGTTATGTTGGCTTCATCGAGCCAGGACCTGCAGTGTGCACTGGGGCGTTTGCAACCGAGTGTGACGCGGCTGGGATGAAGATCGGCTCTTCCAAGTCCGAGGCCATGGTTCTCGACCGGAAAAAGGTGGCTTGCCCTCTCCGGGTGGGTGGAGAGTCTTTGCCTCAAGTGGAGGAGTTCAAGTATCTCGGGGTCTTGTTCACAAGTGAGGGAAGGACGGAACGTGAGATTGAGGATCGGTGCAGAGTGATGCGGTCGCTGTATCGGACAAGCGAGTCTCGAAATGAGTTTCCTCCGCAGGGTGGCTGGGCGCTCCCTTAGAGATAGGGTGAGGAGCTCAGTCACACAGGAGGAGCTCGGAGTAGAGCCGCTGCTCCTCCACGTCGAGAGGAGACAGTTGAGGTGGCTCGGGCATCTGTTCTGGATGCCTCCTGGGCGCCTCCCTCGGGAGGTGTTCCGGGCATGTCCCACCGGGAGGAGGCCCCGGGGAAGACCCAGGACACGCTGGAGGGACTATGTCTCTCGGCTGGCCTGGGAACGCCTCGGGGTCCCCCCGGAGGAGCTGGAGGACGTGTCTGGGGTGAAGGAAGTCTGGGAGTCCTTGCTTAGGCTGCTCCCCCCGCGACCCGGCCCCGGATAAGCGGACGAAAATGGATGGATGGATGGATGTTTTAAACCATAGTCTGCATAATCTCTGCATTCTGGTCAGTCAGAAGAGGGAATGCAATGTTAAGTATGCAGGTAGAAAGGAACAGATATTGGGTGAAAAGCCTTACTTGGGGATAATTGGGACTTGACTGTACTCAATTTGCCTGGGATCCAGAATACACACATATAAAAAATACAGATAAATAAAATTCTGGATTTTACAGGTACTGAGTATATGATTGTATCTATGGGTAGAAAATAGCCTATTTTATTAAAAGTACAAAGCTACTAATCAAAAAGGACAATTACTTTAAAAAAAAAAATTGTCACTGAAATACATTTTATAATAATACATTTACTCATGACATAGTTTGTATGTGAAGTTTTCAATAACGTGCAAAACTGGATCTCTTCAATTTTATTGTAGTTTTAGCCTTGTGGCCATACTGGCTTGTCAAAGCTGGATCCCGTCAGATCTCAGAAGCTAAACAAGGCCGGACTTGGTTAATACTAGGACCGCTGGGGAAATCAAAATCTTCAGTCAGTCTGCCCCAGGGCAGCTGTGGCTACAATAGTAGCTTACCACCCGGGGAATGAAGTCTGTGAAAAGCGCTTATATATATATAAAAAAATAATAAAATAAATAGTGTGTGGTGTTGTGAAAAGTGTATGATTTGGGCATTTTATTTTGGCTCTGTGTTGTAGTGCATCGTGTCTTCAACACAGGTAAGGGTAAAAGTTGGTGAATGTTTGCAGTTACAGTATCTGTGGTGGAAATCCCTAGCGCACGCGCATACTAGTATTGCAGAGGCGGGTGGAACTTTTGCTCTGTGGGCTACTTATTGCGGCGGTCGTTAATTCTTTTGTCATTTTTCACTACTCCCTGGACGATGGCAGATAATTCTTGGCACCTCAAAGCAAACAAGGACAAGCTCTACTTAAATAAAGTGACTGATCGACATGAACATAACCAGGTAAGACTCTTTTTAAATGTCTAATCTGAGCAATGATGCTGACAACAATGACAACAACCCGACGTACGGAAGCGTGCAGCGGAGTCAAGCTCCTTCTCATTCAGAAGAGTAAAATAAAAAATAAAATAAAATAACGCGTTTTGTTATAGTCTACCTATAACGCAAAAAAGTTAGGATCTCTCCAGGGAGCCCATTTAGCCTTTAGCCAACGCCTTAAAAAGTTTAACTTAAAAAGTGTGTGCGTGTGCGTGTGTGTGCGTGTGCGTGTGTGTGTGTGTGTGTGTGTGTGTGAATATGTGGGCTTGTAGATATGTGAGCGAGAGTCGGGAACTTTGGGGGGTTTCTACAATGCTTGGCTCTGTCTGTGTAGCCTATATAGTTGTCTTGGGGTTTTGCTTAAACTTCCTGTGCAGGTAACCTAAAAAGCTGCAGAAATGTGATAGGTCGCATGGCCAGCCATTTTTGCACCGGGATTTGCACTACTGATCACTTATATAGTCTGGTTGTGTTTTCCCTGTTCTACAGATTATGGGTTATAAGGCCTTTAGTATGTCCACACTTGTGCGGACTATGCAGCGGATGGTGGAGAAGAACTGTCGGAGAGCGTGCCAGCTCCTATGCTGCTCCATAGACAATCTAATGTGCGACAGACTCACCATATGTCCAGGTAACTTACTTATTCATTCGATTCTCATGCTAAACTATCTACATTTTAGTGTATTTCAAGTCTGCCCTCTTAAATTATTTATGGGTTTCACTTTCCTGATATAGAGGCAAAAGATGTAATATTTTGTTTTGAAATGTTAATTTATCATTGCTCTGAAACCCATGGATATAAAACCTCTTAACTCTCTTAAAATATTGAAATGATATGAATTTAACTGGATTCATGATCTCTACTTCCTTTTCTCGTTCAAGGTAAAAAAGAGGAGGGCCACACAGAGGAAGTGCCTGTAGCAGGTAATTATAATGCACCCGTGATGCACTGATGTCTGATTGTGATTTGTGACAGTGTTTAGCCACTGTACATGATCTCTTTGTTTATGGAAGCATTTTTATGAAGTAGTCAGTGACTTCTGCTTGAGGGATTTTGTGCACACCCGTATTACATCATTTTGGAAATGTAACTTCCTTTTCTAAAATCTTTTCATTTTCTCTTCTTCTTTTCACTGACATTTAGCAACGGCAGCCTGGAGTCCACCATCAACCATTTTGATTGTCAACATCAGCAACTCCACTCTGATTGATTGCGTTATTGGAAATGAGACCTGCCCTCCCACTGTGGCAGAAAAGCAGCCACTGATGCAAGGAAATATCCACGATGTGCATGGTTAGTAAGGCTATAGTAATAGTGATCTTCAACTTTTTTTATTCAGTCAAGTACCATTACCACCAGATACAATTAGCACATATTATCTAAATCTAAATCTTGAACCTACCATTTTGACAACCTTCACTGTGTTTATTGTTTGCAAGTGTATTTGTGTTTGATTGTATTGCATACTGTATTCTTTAGAAGAGTTTTTTGTGTTGCATGTTTGTAATACTTGGCCATTTTGAAACAGGTCCAAGCAACTTTAGCCTGCCAAGTATCCAAATCAGCAGCTCCAATCTCAGCTGTGTCATCATTGGAGACAACAACTACATGCAAGTGGAGCAGACTGTGCCAAGTGAAGAAGAAAATGGGGACGATCATGAAAATGGAAGCTGAACTGGTCAGGAAACAATACATACATTGTGTGTTGTGAAGTTATTATTATTATTATTATTATTATTATTATTATTATTATTATTATTATTTTATTTATTTTTTTGAGTGATGTTTGATCGAGTAGAGTGTGAAAACTATTTATTTATTTATTTGTACAATAAGGAAATATTGCATTTTTGTCAGGAACTGCTGCAGGTGGCTCACTTTGTTGAGCTGAAGCAATCATGTAGCATAGTACTTGATTTGTGCAGTCACAGCCCATGAAAGGGTACAGTATGTACAATATGTAAAAGTTTACAACACTTAATCACATTGTTGTGGTGACGAAGACACATTTTGGCCTATGGTCATTTACTGTAAAGTACTATTATATGGTGTATTTGTAAAGTCCTGTTATCTTAGTCTTATAGTGTACATAAAAACAATTACCTCAAAGGCTTTTTACCTGGACTAAAAGGAGCAAGTGACTGTCCATCTGCAGCTGGGTCTGTAGAGGGCACCACATTTCTCTCTCCTGTCTGTCCCAAAGTTATTTTTGTACCAGGTGCCATGAGATTAACTAATACTGAAATAACTGAAATGTTTCTATAAATGATTTACACTGCAGGAATGCGTTTATTACTCAAATCGGTTGTATTTCACTTTGTATTCTTAAGATACACAAAATAATAAAAACAATTTTTATAAATTATGATGTTATTTTTTCTTCTTTTTCCCTTTTTTCCCTACATCCTTTTTCTTGCTTTTTTTGTCTTCCTCTGTTTTTTTATAAATGCCAAGACCTTTGCGGACCATGCATCCACGCCAAAAAGCCTGTACCTGCAATGCCAGAGTGCTAAGTATTAATGTAATAAAAAATATATATATACTGATGGTTCTTAAAATCATTATTACCTTAGTAGCAGCCTTGATCAGATGTTGTTCTTGTTGCAGTTTCTCTTGCTCCTCCTTGTCCTCCATTACAACTTGTTCCATGACTCTGAACTGTACACAAACCAAATACAGAAGTGTTAATTACACAAATAATACATTTTGACTGTAAAAATGCTGATCTGAAGATAAGATTAACATTAGATATTAAGCTACATTTTTGTCATTTGTTGATTTACCTTCCTCCTCATTTCCATTAGTCGGTCCAATCTCAAAGTTATTTTGCAGCGAACGTCGTTAAGCTCTTGTGCCTTGGCCTGACGTAGTGTTCGTGTGCGCTCCTCCCACATGCCTTCCAGTTGTTTCATCTCCTGGTTTAGGAAAAATTATGTTACAATTTAATGATTGTTCAGCAGAGAGTATTTTCACTTTTTTGCTCTTCTTTCTACTTTTTCTTCATTGTGATGTTAATGTAAGTACAATTTTGCCTGCTCCACCCACTTCTTATCTGAGAAATACTAAAAAAGGTATTGTCTAATGTTAATTTGAATTTAGTAAAAATGTTGTTAACCTCCTGTTGATTTTGAAGAAATTTCATTGATACATTGTGAGAGTGTCGTTCCCTCTCCATCCGTTCTTTCACCAGCTATAAAAATTTGAAATAACAAAGAAGACACGTTATTCAAAATATAAATCAGTGCTATTAGAAAATTCTTGAAAAAAGACCCACCTTTATCTGTTTATTTAGCATTTCCTCTTTGTCACTGGCCTCCTTTTGTAACATTTGTAGTTTATCTTCCTTGTCACGCTTGATCATTTTGTTCTTTTCATTTTGGTCTTCTTGTTGCACTTCCAGTTTTGCATATTCACCTACAAGTCTCTGAATAGTAAAATATTTTTCATATGAAGTCAATGAAATTATAATTATGCTTAAGAGAACAGTCACATAAGGAAATTACTCGTTTTAAATATATTTTTCAGAGTGAAGGACTGGAGGACACTGGAAAACTGCTTTCCTTCATGGACTCATCTGCTCATCTACTGTACCAGACTACAGAGGAACAGAGGAGCTCATTCTCCAACAGTCTCCTACAGCTCCACTCAAACAGTGAAAAATACAGGACTATTCATACCATACTCCATACAACTGTACAACAACTCACCCTTATGTAACAGATAACCCTATGTTTTGTCAGTCAGTCATCTTTGTGCTGGTTTCCTTACGACCTCTTGAATACAGCTGACATGTTTTTTGTTACTTATTTTCAATTTCATTTTTACTTGTACATACACATTTATTTAATTATGCTGTATCTGACACCAGTCTCTTGCTATTTTTATTAATACATACTTAGATTATATTATTACCATTTATATTTTTTACTCTTAAAATATAATGTGATGTGTGAGCTACTGTGTCTAAGTTATTTCCCTTACAGATCAATAAAGTTTGTCTAAGTCTACGTCTAATGGAAGGATCTGTTTTATGATTTACTTGTTCATATATACTACAAAGAATCAAAGAGGAAGTACTGCAGTTAGTTAGCTGCACCATTTCCAGTGATGTGACATTCACATGTAGTTTCATACCTCAAAAAGTGAGTGTTTATTTTGTAATTCCTCTTCCAGCTTGGTGCAAAATTCCTGTTTCTCTCTGAAGTCTGCCTTTGTGACTCTACCACAGAAACAGCATTATTTTTTATTTATTTGCTACAGTATAGTAACCTGAATGTAAGGATAATTTTACCGTCGTATGTGCTCAACCATCATTTGTTTCCTCTCTTCTTCATCCTCTATTTTCTTTAACAAAAAGGTAAAAGTCTGGTTTTCTTCCAACTCTTCACAGATTGTTGCCAAAAGTTCTGATAAAGCGTGACTGGTTAAAGAACAAAGAAGTGAATTTTTAACGTTCTGATCTTTTCACAAGTGTGTGAGTAACTCAGTTTTGGCCTACCTAAAAAAAAAAAAAAAAAAAAAAAATAATAATAATAATAATAATAATAATAATAATTTAAGAACACAAGCTACAGTTCCTTTAATAGGGAATAAGAGTTCAAGTTATAAATAATAAACATTTCATAGGCCTTACAATAGTGCAGTCTACAGTATATGCTTACCAATCTTGGATCAGTTTTTTCATTTGTTCTTTTTCATGAAGGCTGTGTGGATTATTTTCCAACTTTACAGTGAAAGAAACTGCCAATAAAGCAAGCTGACTGTGAAAGTCCTCCAACACAGCAGCCACTCTCAGACTCTGACTCCTAGACAGCCGCATCCTGAAAATCAGTCACAAAACCTTTTCAATGACAGGGCATAGGCCTGGAGTAAATTTACTAAATAAATTGACAACAAGTACTGAATAATTACTAATATATTTATAATAAATGTTAATTTGGACGCTAGGCCAAATAAAACTTTAAATAGTGTAACCAACCGGATAGTTTCAATTCAAAAACAAACTAAAAAGACATAACATCGTTAGAAAGCACTGCGATGTTATCAATTTACTAACACATAACGTATAATCATAAACAGTATTTGATGAAGCCAAACGGTGTTTACCTCACGTTAACGTCGCTCCTTTTCGTTTGCATGTTGCTATGGCAACCAATGGACAAATTAGACGAAGAAAGGACATAACACGTTATATATACACATTTCATATATACACACATAAGCATAGAGTCATAAACAAATATACAATCATAAATATAAGCCAATAAAAGCCTTATTATTGACAAGCTTTAGAAATATTTATGAATCTATATTGATTTGGATTTCATTGTGTGACCATCATTTAACCACTAGATGGTGCCACCACAGTCTATGAGTGCCACAAAGAAAAATGTTTTTTTTTTTAAAGTATTTACAGATATTGTACTTTCTTCCCACTGTGAAAAATACCAGACATGAGTACTATTTCATGTTTCATCCTCGCAACTGCATTAACTTTAAATGACAAATCAGATGTTTCGTCCAGTTACTTTTAACTTAAGTCACTTGAGGAGTAGTTTCCCCGAATACTTTTACTTTTAGCTACTTAACACATTTTTTGGACTTCTACTTTTTACTCAGACTTGAGAATTTTTTTTTTTTTTTTTTTTTTTTGAAGTAACGTTACTCTTAATTTAGTGCAATTTGTGGCTTTTTTACCCAGTGTTCATGGACATCAGTGACAGCAACAGCGACTGTCACAGGTAAGTTAGTTAGCTTACTAAATTGGCTTGCAATAGGCCTAAATAAAAAATAATAATATAAAACGTCGGTTAAAAAAAAAAACAAAAAACACTGTATGTATAGCCTATATGGTGGAAAATTATAATATGAAATAATATCATGGCTCCTCTAAAAATAATAATTTGCATTACATGGATATACAAGCAGTTAACTCATGTTAACGCATGTTTCCATGTTGGAATATATTTGGCCCTCGCCACTAACAAAGTTAGGGGCGAGGACATGAAATTTCACCATTATCGGATTTGTACCAAATTCGGAAATTAAATTCTATGCATGATGACAAGCAAAAAAGTCTATAACGGACATGATGCATTTTTCACGGTTTGCCAGTAGGGGCGCAAAGAATCCCCCCAAAAATATTTATAAAATGATTACAGGGACATGCTTAGTTCGATTGTGCTGAAATTTGAATCACTAATGCGGGATATTGGTCTGAATATAATAAACTATAAATAATCAGGTCGAAATCAAGCATTAGTGATTCAAATTTCAGCATGATGGGACTAAGCCTGTGGGTGTAATAATTTTTTAACTATTTTTTGGGGGTCTTTGCGCCCCTGCTGGCCAATGGTGGAAAATGCATCATGTCCGTAATGAATTTTTTTGCTTGTAATCAAGCATAGAATTTATGCCCCGAATTTGGTACTAATCCGATAATGTTGATGTTTCACGTCTATGCTAGGGGGCGCTATAGAGTTCACTTTTATTTTTGTTTTATAATTGAGTTGTTTTGTAAGTGTTGCTGTACTTACTGTTACGCAGATAAAAAGTGCGACCTACTCTGTGAAATCTACTCTGTAAAGTCTCCTCTGTGAAGTCTACTGTTTGAAATCTTTGTACGATTTGCTCTGTGTCAAGCTCAGCTAAATGTGCCTTTTCCGTTAAGCGATATGTGATTTTCGATTTGTGATTTGCGATTTGCCTACTCTTATAATCTCCCCGAGGCCAAACAAAGCTTTGAGTTAAAGCCCACAAAGCTTTGAAGTTTAGCTTTGAGTTCCGGAGTTGCCATGGTAACAAGGCTTTATGGAACTTTACATGTATGATGTCATCGGCGCCGTGAACCTGATGGAACTGGGAGGTTTTCAGGTTCTAGAATGTGATGATGTCATACTCCCAGACGGGGCAAGAGCCACGTTTCACCGATATATTTAGTGATGTAAAAATTCACTGTAAATGTTGAATTGTTTAAAAAACTTAGGTTTGGCTCTGGTGGATTTTAAATTGGGTTTATTTAGGCAACATTTATTGTTATTCTGCCTCTTTACATCATATTTACAGACAGTAGGTTGGCTTAATGGCATTTTTGCATCACATTCTAGACACTAGTGATGGGTATTCCAGTTCTTTTTAGAGAACCGGCTCTTCTGGCTCGGCTCACTAAAAGCTGCTGGTTCTTTTGGCTCCCAAGTGGCTCTTCAGATTGTTTTGTTGCAAGCAGGACTGAATCAGGACTGAACCAGGTCTAAACCAGGACTGAAAAAGGACTAAACCGGGACTTATTTATTTTATGCTAAACTACAGTCAAATATGCTCGTTTTTTTATTTTTATTTTTTTTTAATCCTTCGTACACGCAAATTTCTCAAAGTTTCGTTTTTAGCCGCTGCCGCTGTCAAACCACGAATCACGCGGCGTGAAGAGAAAAAAAGTGAGAGAAAGAGAAAACACGGCTCCCAATAAGGATCAGGCTCCCGTCGTTCCCTTTAAAGAGCCGGTTCTAAGAGTCATTTCGTTCGCGACGGACCCATAACTAGTAAAGAAAGTAGCGCTATTAGCCTTTAGCCGTAAATACGTGGGCGCTGCGGTAATTAATTATATGCGCAAATGTCATAATTCACACGTCTGTTCACAGCTCATTTACATATCAATGCAGGTCCAGTAGCAAATATACGGCCAATATAGTCACTTTAGAACAGACCAATAGTAAACAGTCTGTTTATGTGCGGGAGCTACAGCAGCTAACCCATAACAAATGACAAAAACTAGCTTCAGAGTCGACATATTTCCAACACTCACCGCTCATACAGGCTCCTCCTCACATCACAATTCTGCACTAATAAATGTCCTTTTAATCCAGACTCAAACCGATTGTCCGTAAAAAGAATATAATCTCAGTGTTTGGATCTATGTCTGCAGGTGTAAACAAACACACGTGAGTGACGCGACTCTGTGGTGTGTTCAGTACGGACACAGACAAATGACTCCGTAGATAAATACTGATGTGGAGCCACATATTAGGACATTTATCTGTCTGTAAATTGGATTAAATGAACAGAATGTAGAGAGTCTAAGCTTTATAACGAGGTATAACATGCCTATGTGAAATATCGGCCCCTATCAGGCCGATAGCCGATATGCCTAAAGTTGTCCATATCAGCCGATATATCGGTCGGGCTCTATTACAAACCTACGTTTGCGGTCGGGAGGAGCAGAATCCGCAAATGCTCGTGTCTGCAGTGAACACTTCGTCAAAGGTTTGTTACAAAGCTAAATTGTTGTATGTGGTTTACCTAAACATAAATGAATCATTAACGACTAACGATGTTTGTTGACATTAAATAGTTCGGATAGATCGGTTACTGCCGATACACTGGGGTCCGGTCAAGCGGTAACGGCGGGAAACGGGTAGATTTTTGACATTCAAATAGTTCTCATTCAGAAACTAGAGGGACTATTGAAATAAGTAAAGTATCAGAATGTAGGAAAGAGTTAACACTCCAACAGGGTAAAGTTAAACCTGTGATATTCTTTCAAGTTGTTGACAAAAAAATTTAAAACTCATGTCGGTAACGGAGGAAATGGTCCAAATGAGCTCAGATTTGACATGTCACATCTACAGACATAGCTTCACTCAAATCTTCCATGTTTTTGGGATACTCCTTACGGTTCGCCTGTAGCACGCCGGCGAATAACGCCTTCATTTCCTGTTTTTTTGGTGACCTGTCACGGCCACAGGCATTGTCGTAGAGAGCTCAAACTCAAATCACAATTGTGTGATCCAGGCCTGAATGTAATGAAATATGAAATCTAATAAAAGTGAACTCTATAGCGCCCCCTAGCATAGACGTGAAACGTCAACATTATCGGATTTGGACCAAATTCGGAAATTAAATTCTATGCATGATGACAAGCAAAAAAGTCTATTACGGACAAATTGCATTTTCTACTACTGGCCAGCAGGGGCGCAAAGACTCCCCCAAAAAATAGTTTAAAAATGATTGCACCCACAGGGTTAGTCCGATCGTGCGCGCCCGGGGCGAGGGCCACCATCGCCGCGCGCGGCTTTAATGTCTCTTTGTTGTTTAAATGTGTAAAAACAACAATAAAAGATCCTAGCGGTAGCCTATTTGTGAGAATATGGATCTATGACTATTACTCAGACCTCTGTGTAGGCTAGCTGATTGCACTTTAATCACTGTATGTTTAAACATACAAGCTGGTGTGTAGGGCATCGTTTTAGCAAACAACCAGGCATTTAGAAACAAAATCAGTTTAAGGTGAAGCTAAAAGATGTTCCAAAGTGGTTACTTGAACGATGATTTTGAAATTGAGGATACCATTTGAAGCCATTATCAATCGGACTGATTTAAATGTATAGCAGCCCATAGATGGTGTGCATGCTATTAGTTATCCTTAAGGTCAAAACAAACATTCTACTTTCAGTGCATATTGTTATGGAGAAAAGATGTACATCTTGATAATAAATAGTAATGAATTAGCAAAGCCTGGTGAGTTTTTTTTAATATACATGCTAATCAACTTTACACCTGAAGACAGCAGGCTTCCCCAGGGTGGAGACAATTGTGTCTGCTGAGCCTTTACACATGTTAATGACTCAGGTAGAAATCACATTCATTTACACAAAGACAGACTATGACAGAAATCTGTCTTCACAATATAATAGAAATAATTTAAAATGGATATCAAAAACTGAAAAATAATATATAAAAACAACTCAATTGTAGAGAGAGACCCTAATAAAATTATAAGAACAATGAAGTCAGACTGACACTATTTGCAAAGGTCACTGTCGAATCTGTGAAGTCTAATCACCAATTTTTTAAAGTCTTATCCTGTTTTCATTGCAACATCTAAGAAACAATGCAGACTCATCAAGCTTTTTCTGTTCCGATATTATTGTGGGTTTAAGAAATAGTCCGGACTCTCTCAACCCTTCCTCTGTAGTACAAGGCTTCTGGGGTTGCGTATAAGCTGTTTGACCCTCACCACGCAGACTTGCTTTTGTACAACTGTGGTTCTGATGAACTTCTAAAGCACGCAATGTGGCAAGACGCTTTCCACATTGACCACAGGGATAAACTACACTGGGTGATGAGAAATGCTTTTTCTGGTGACGCAGAAAAGCTTCTCTGGACCATAGTGCCTTATTACACACATTGCATGGGAAGAACAGGTCTTTAGAGTGTCTGAGTTTGTGGCGACTGAGAGATGCTACAGATGCAAACTCTTTGTGGCACTTATCACATCTGAGGTACAGCTCACGGTGGAGTCGCCTATGTATCCATAGAAGTAGCCGGTCTGCAAATGCCTCCTCACACGTGTCACATTTGTAAGGTTTATCCGTGTTATGAGAGTCCTTAAGTTCCATGAGAGCGTAAGCTTCTTTAAAAGAGGCCCCGCACTGGTCGCAGTTGTGTGGCCGCTCCCCTGTGTGGATTTTCTGTTGTCTTTTGAGGTGATATAGTTGTGAGAAACTGTGACCACATAAGTCACAACAGTAAGGCTTTTCCTCCATGTGAAGATGTTTGTGAGTTATCAGCTTGTCTATTCTGGAAAGAGTAACTCCACACACATTGCAGGTTAAATATTTATGATCAGACACATCCTGTTATCTGTTATGTGTTATCTTGTGCTTTTTTAAAGGCTTCTCTGAGATAAACACTCTTTCGCATTTATCACATTTAAAATAGCCTTCCTTGGAGTGGTTATAATAATTATGTTTTATTAACTGTGATGAATATCTGAATCTTTGCCCACATTGGTCACAGCTGTAAGGTTTGACGCTGGGGTGTGATCGTATATGTATTTTAAGATGGGACTTGGTACAAAAAACTTTTTCACAGTGATCACAATTGAAGGTGTCACCAGTATGAATGCGCTCATGTGACTGAAGTGTGCAGGCTGTAATAAAGGTCTTGCCACACACTGCACAGCTGTAGGTTCTTTCACCGGTATGCCTCTGCCGATGGACTTGTAGTACATACAGTGAAGAAAGAGACACTCCACAGATGTCACATGTGAAGTCACCTTTTTTATGGCGAATATTTTTATGGGATAATCCTTCAGAATTTGTTGACGGCTGCTCACACTGGTTAATAAAAGGCTTTTCTTCAGTGTGGACTTGTTTGTGGCCTTTCAGGTGATTTGTAGCCTTCTCAGGCTTATTTTCCTCCATAATATCCGTTGATGGTCCACAATTTACACCTAGAACAAACAAAAATGAATGAATAAAATTACAGTTGTAATTAAATTCAGTCATTCAGAAAATCAGTTGTTCATTATAAAAATAAATCAACTGAAGCCTCCCTATACATGTTTGGTTGCAGTATCAGTGTCATTTTCATATTAATTACACCTGTACACTTTACAATTACACATAACTAAAATGTTTTCTTGATTTTTTTGTAACAAACCCTAATTTGATACATATTTTCCCATAACATTTCCAACACGTTTTGCAACATGTAATAATTTACCTCCCATATACACTGTTGGCATTGCCAGGCAACCACTGGCACCCTTTTACAGCACTTTTTAGATGGCCACCAGAATGTAGTGGATAAATATTTTGCCAAGTACCGTCAATATTTATTAAGTAATTTTTTTCTGGTAATTGTAGGGAGACTAATGAAAGGGGTCAATGGTTAAAGGAAGGGTAACTGATATTAAAGTTTGGAATTTAGGAGTTCTAAGTTAAAGCACCACTCACATGGCCTTTGTGAGTGTTTGGCTCTGACTAGAAGTAAATTCGGGGCACCATTCAACAAATGTTGAGAAATATTACCAATACAATATAATCAATTACCTACATTAATTCACAAATTAATAATTAATTAAACAATTGATCTGAAGGTTCATAAATTCTTGTACATATCAGTGGAAATGACATCACTGGAAATATCACTATTAACAAATAGCAATAGTACCAAAGCAAATTGTGGTTTATGAATATTTATTGACAAAGTTAAAAACCCTCACGCTCTCCTCGGGGTCACATTAACCCGAATAATTTTTTTTTTCCTTTCCGCTCTCTTGGGGCAGGTCAATCAGACCCAAAAAATTATTTTCTCGCCTGGCGAGAATTAATTTGAAAATATTTTTTGGGTCTGATTGACCTGCCCCAAGAGAGTGCGAAGGAAAAAAAATATTCGGGTCAATGTGACCCAGAGGAGAGCGTGAGGGTTTTAAACAAACAGCATTTCATTATCAAATATGCAAATGAGTGTAGGTCGCTCTAAACTAGTGTCAACTTGAAGGGTTACCTACCTGTGTTGAGTCTAAATTGATAAAGCAAGCCATTGTGTGACACATACACCCCAGGGAGCGTGGAGATGTCCAGTCACCATGTGCTCCTGTTAGGTACAATGAAGGTTTGAGTTTCTCAGAATGTCAGTTCTGAAGAATGGACCAAGGCCACAATAAACACAATAGTTCATTGAATGAATTGTTCAGTTAATTCCTCATCTTTCTCTGGAGAAAGTCCATTGGCTTGAGATTTAGAGATCCAGATTGTAAAAAGAATCCTTGAGAGGGTCTTTGTGTGAGATAGCATGACTGGAAATGTCTTTACAGAACACAAGTCAATAAATCTTAATTTGGGCTGACAGGTCCAAGATAGGGCTGGAGAAAATGGAGGAAGGGTAGTGTGCCGAGGCATTGTCCAAACTTTGGTGCAAGTCTATTTCATAAAGATTCGATAGCCATGATTTCACATTTTCCATAGGTCAAAGGTCAGTAACACTACATAATCCAATCCAGTTATGACCAACAACTAAACTTCTTGACCACTAAAAGTACAAAATGTGGGTCATATCTATAACCAAAATCTCAGCTGGGACAATCATTGTAATTTTTTCTCTTCTGAAGCTTACTTTACAAACTTTCTTGAGTCACAACGGAAACTATTTGGACACAGTAGCTCACACATCACAATAAATATAATAACAAAGAGCAAGTTTGTCTGTGCTCAAATAATATCCCTTGTGGATTAATTCAGTAGTTTGTCTCACTATTCTTGGATGAATCGATTGAGATGCGTTCGAATACCATATGAAAATACTCACAGGGAGCTCATTCATAAGAAGCATAGGTTACACAATTACATCAGGCAAACTCGACTTTAAATAGTAGAAAACGCTTTAATTACCTTAATGTAGATAAAACTGCAGCGGTATTTGGTTCCCCTCGGTTCAGTATAATTGTAAAACTCACAGAACTAAAGCCAGACAAGGCTCACTCTTTTCTTCTCCTCCTTCTGCTTCTCCTTCTTCTTCTACCACTTCTACTTCTTCTAGTGGAGTTTTATTGGCGGTTGGCAAACAACTACTGGTGCATTACCTCCACCAACTGATAAGGAGTGTACATTGAATTGCGACTTTCAAATCAAAATCAAAATCAAATTAAAATAAAAAAAAACAAAAAAAAACAAGAGTGATCAAATAATAACTAAAGCAAATAAATCAAACACTGTTAATCAAATTTAATATCCCTAACAAGCTTAAATAAAAATGCTGCTGCAATAATTCTATTATGTCAAATTTGTTGGGCTTACTTGCTTGTTTGAATTTTCTTCTTTGTCTTACTACCGCTACCTACTGTCTCGTGATGTGTATCATCAGGGAGAGTAAGAAGACCTACTTCAAGTTACATTTTACAGTGGGGTTGGAGAAAAAAATATGTCTGATAATACAACCCAATGTCCTTATCAAATATCCTATCAATACAATACCCTACCATGTTCTGTATCACCTTAGTTTTACCTAATATTCCCTGTAGAATACCAAGTTTGTTTGTACATGTTCTTGAGTATCATGTTTCTCTGTGCCGCATACTTTCTGCATTCCTGTAACATGTGAAACATTTTCAAACAGCCACTATTATTCTTAGCCTACAAATCAAACAGTTTACGTTTTCCCACCAAACACCAAACAAGAGCTCTGCAGACATCTAAATACCTGTAAAAACATAATAAAAAAATTTTTTTAACCATACTGAGAAGGCATTGATTACAAGTTGGCTTTTTATTAATGTATTTTTTAGGTTTGATTGGCTTCACCACATGCATGATGCTGCCTTACCTCTTATGTTCAGCTCCACTCATCATCTCATTGAATTCAAAACAACATCCTACTATAATGTTGAGGTAACACTGAGGTAACACAGATCTGGTCTCAGAATGTTAAAGTTCAGTTTAGGAGAATAAAAGTAAATGGACTAAGGCATAAATGTGTAAATAAACAGAATAATTATACTAGAATAGAGTTGATCTCCATCTAAAATACAGTAAAAATATATCATAAATGAGGACAGATAAGTGTTTTATTTTGTGACTTTGTAACAGATGGTCATACCACATTTTGATGAGGTGTTTGCCTTATATTGGGCTGGACAAACATAAATTGACTGAATGGAAGATATGACCCAGCAAATGTAATGAATTAAATTGTGTCTCAAGGCTAATCTTGGGCTAAAACAGATTTTTGACCCAATTAAACCTACGCCTAATTCTCCCTTCAATACTTTTCAGTTTAAATAATGTCTTCTATATTTGTGAGTTAATTAAATGGTACGTTGTCTGAAATGTTTGAAGAAAAACTAATTTTAATAAATTCTACCAAAGTGTATGTTTTATGTAAATATTTTTCTGCCAAGACATGATTCAAAATTATTTAGAAAAAATAATGGGAATATTTCTCCACAGTTAAAGAATTTGTGTGCTTTAATTTGGGGTTAGTACTGAGTGTTCTTAAGTATAGCACTGAGAAAAAACGTTAGACTGCCTTTTCTTCAGATACTTTGCACAAAAAGCATACAGGAAAATCGCAGTCTGTCAAATGCTTTTCTCCATGTAGTTGTCATTGCTCTGTCTAAAATGTTCCACACTATGACATTAAACAGTTCTAACTTACATTTATTAAATTACAGGTGGCTTTATAGCTCAGAAATACCTAGAAAAAAGGCATTCTGACTGTGAGTGGGGTTGCCTCTCCACAGATCTGACCTGTAATTTGGTCTGATTTGATCTCCATGAAGATAGAAAGATTTAATGCCATACTGTGAAACATTCCAGACAGAACGATAACATCTCAGCAGAGAAAAGCATTTGATGGACCCTCCACCAGAAAACTTACACAATGCATCTTTAATAGTATGAATCTTACTTTACTTACTTTACCTTTCCTAGTTTTGACTCTTATCAATGTTTTAGGGTCAGAGTGCATGAAACCCACAGACAGTAACAGACAGGGTTATACCCTCCAAGTGTTGTTATGTAAATTCCCTGTCAAGGAATGTTGACGATTGAGCTTCACCAAATTGTCCAGACACATGCATGTTCTTAGGTGGCAGGAGGAAGCCAGACAGGACCTGCAGAAACTCAGACAGGACATGCACACTACTTTTTTTCATACTCCAAATTATTGCAAAAAATAACCCTACTTATAAGCCAGTTATTCTGTTGGTTAGTGCTGGCTCTAAGGGGAGCCTAATCCATATATTTTAGGATTATTAAAGGGCATCTGGGTTATATCATTTATTTGGCACTGTAGTTTGCCCATATCTGTGACAAAAGAGGATAGTTTCTTCCTTCATTCTTACCAGTAATGATGAGAAAAGTCATTACTAACACTGTGCAGCTCTCCATTAAACAGCCATGTACTGTATTACTCACACACGAAAAAATCTAAACCAAAAACATATAAAAAGTATGGCATATATACTCTTGTGTTTCTCTAGTTTACAACCTGATCGATGTGGCTTGCGCGTCCCTTGCCAGGGTCCATAATATCCTCCTTCTCAGTTGTGCTTATTGTCCAGAATAAGATGGAGCCGTCCCCACTTTGCATTGGCAACCATTTTAATTCTTGTCAAGCTTCAGACCAGAGATTAAAGGATTGACAACAAAGGCGAGCAACAATCAGGCAAAATAATATGACCACAAAGCTAATATGCACCATTGTATTTTATCATAAAACAGTGTCATATACAGAGACATATAATTTAGCCATTGACAAGCTTGTTCAAAGCCTTTAAAGCATTCAGCTCTAAACATATCCATGATAAAAAAAAAAAGATTCATTGTTGCTCTATACTGTATATGCTTCTCAATAACAGAATGAGGAGCACATAATTTGTATTATTCATGTGCACCTTACAGTGGCCATAATATTTTGACTGGTTGGTGTTTTATAATTGTCTGTAAGAGCTGTACACATAAAAGACAGAGCCATTGACTCCATCCATCCAAGTCCTAGAAAAATGGATCCCATCTCCACATATGTGCCATATATAGTTTATATTTCATTGATTGTTCTTTCTGAAGGCCGGTACTCCTCCCTCCCCTTAGGAGAAGACATGTAAAAGGATTGGGTCTTGCGTTTTAGGCGGGCCCTTTTGGTGGCCAGGGACAGACTGTGCTTGCTGGAAGCGATGATGTCAGAGATGAACTTCTTGCAGTCCACACAAACCTCCATCGAGGCCCAGTCCTCCGTCAGCTCAGACGGTAGCTCCAGCTCCTCGTGGGATTTCAGGGAGCCATGTTTGGAGAATCTGAAAGTATAGGATCATGGGAAAACAAGGGTCCAAGGGTGAGTTTGTAAATTGTCTATATATATATATATATATATATATATATATATATATATATATATGAAGGTTCCAGAGTATTAAAATACTACTTAACCAGTTTCTGTGCTGAAAGTAGACTCTTGAGATTGCAGAGAATACTATCCATAGAATATATACTATAATGTTTGGTGAAAGTAGCCCTAGGATACTGAGTATAATAGTAATAATACATTAGCATAATAATGGATGGCATTTCACTGCATGCATGCCCCAAGCCACTTTATGATACTTAATAGCATCTTCTTGTAACATCCCCCCACTGTCCACTAGAGGTAGTTAGAGCCCAAATAGACAATAGATCAATATGCCTCATTACACTAGATGTAATATTCTATCATTTGTTTCAGTCATTTCCAAGTGTAAAGCATTAAACTTGGACTTACTTGGACATAGTTTTTTGCAGGCCATGGCGTTGTGAACTGCTGGAGGATTTGTCTCCTTTCTGAGGCTGAGGAGCCGACGTCACAGATGAGGCCTTCCCTACTGCTTTGAGTCTAGCAGCCCTCAGATTTGGAGATGGTGAAGCTTCAGTCACCACTGGTGGAGTGGAGGGTCTTGGTGCAGTGGAGGGTCCTGGTGCAGTGGAGGGTCCTGGTGCAGTGGAGGGTCCTGGTGCAGTGGAGGGCCCTGGTGCCACTGAGAGCCCCTGCCCCACTGAGGCCATGGCAGTTAACCTGTCCCGGGGCAGAGTGTTTGTGGAGCCAATGGAATAGATGGGTAGGCTGGAGTAGGGTTTGGACGGCAGCCGCATCTGAAAATCAAGAAACACTTTATGAAACATATGACTACAGCAAGGATTACTGATTTTGAAGTGAATACATTTATTATATGTTTATTATTAATATTTATTGCAGATAATGTAATATTTATTTAAATAGAAGTCTCACCTTTTTGCAACATTGTGAACAAACAGGTCTGCAAAAGATAAAACATTGCATCATGTTTTATATTTAAGTTTAAATATTTAATGGAAGTGAAGAAATCAATAACTTACTTTTTGCAAAATTGACAAATGTATGACCAGGTGAAAAAGGAAAATCTCTTTGTCCGACAACAGAAGCAAAGCTGAAACAGACAATAATATTCATCTTAATGGTAAAATGATAGCAAACAATTAATTAACCCTGTTTAAATACATTTATTTTATTAAACCTTTATAAACCAGGGCTGTTCAAATGAGATTATAAAACTTTTTTTAATTAAATGCTGACCAAGACAGTGGCACAGTGCAGCTAGTTTACTCGTAACATCAGTACAATATTTAGACTTTACAATAAATTACTACCTAAAAACAGTTACACTTTTTTTTTTTTTTAAACCTGATTCTATTCTTTTCTCTAATCTATATTAGATACCCTACTTTCATTTGAAGCCACTACTTTTTGCCTTATTACTCTTTTCTATTATGTAAAAAATGTAACAGTAATATATTACGTTTGTCACTTTAAGTGTAATATGGACATATTCACCTTGCCCTTTTTGAGAGCCGTGTAGATGTCTTTGTACTGCTGAAACTTCTCCAATTCAGCTTTGACCAAAACCTGTCGAATGTGCATCACCTCGTCCACAGTGAGGGACAGGCACTCCACTGGGAAACAGAACTCCTCCTGATCAACCACATAACAGCACACAAGTCCTGACACAATTTTAGTAGAATATTTTTGATTGGGCAGCAGGTATTTCCACACTGTCTAGCTAATCCACTTATGTAGGAGTTGTCTGATTAGTTTGATATCTAATCAGCTATTAAAATGACATGGATTCACTGTTTGCATGTTACATCATTAGGCAAATGAATAAACTAAAATGGAGTTTATGAAATGATGACTCAGTTAAAATGGGCTAAAGAAGAAAGCAAAAGTGTCTTGTTATTGATCCAAGGACGAGCAAACCTTAACAGTCTCAAATCGACTGGTGCAAAAGCCCAAACACAGAGTAAAAAGTGCTTTGAGCAGCTGCCTTACAAAAGCCTCAACAGGAAAAAAGCTCCAGAAAGAGACAAGGATGCCAACCTGAACAAGAGGGATTTTATAAAATGATAAATAATATACAAACAATCTAACTATTTTCTGTTGTTGCAGTTGAATCAATCATACAACACATTATGGTCATAGTATTTTTTCAGTGGTTATATTTAAGTAATAAAAGTTATAGTCTTGATACTAACTGTAGTAAAATGATTAAAACATTTTTCACTGACCAGAGACTTGGAGCTCTGTCTGGAGGGCGGCTGGAACAGTTTGACGTTGGTAGGAGTTTCTTTTTCTATGGAGTGCCTTCTCTGAGGCGTCTTGCGTCTCTCGGGCTGAGGAGTGGATGAAATCGGCAAAAACATGGGTGGAGCTGTGGACAGATAAAACACTATCAGAAAGAAATAATGCAATCAACAAAACAATGGCCTTAGCAAGTTTTTCATTATTCATTCAGTGCTTTCAGTACTGCCCTCTGGTGGTCAGTAGAGATGAACTAAAACGAAAGTTGCGAACGTAATTATGGATGGAGCCAGAGAATCTCTGTCTCACAAGATCCTCTTGTGTTCACACGAGAAGAATCTGCAGGAACAGAGCTTCAAATGACACGAGGCTACAGCCTCTGATTGGCCATCCGACTGTCACTGGTGTGATGTTGTTGGTATCGATACTCATTTAGTGCTTCAGTGCAGTACTACCCTCTGGTGGCCATCCAGGATTCATAGAATCAGAGTTACATTTGTAACACTCATTTTAAACTTAGTATAATTCTTCTAAAGCAGACCAAAACAATAAAACAACTTTAAGCAAATTTACTGAAATCACAGAGAAGGACTCACTTTTTTTGCCAATGACTGATTCTGGTGATGTATCATCCATCATTGATGTGGCCACACTAGAGCTGCTCGCTGATGTCCGTAAAAACATGTCATCCTAAATATATCAAATGTATGAGAAAATATGAACTGTGGATCTAAAGATGCTGCTGTATAGAATAAAATAATATGCAGATTAAATCTAACTTACATCTGAGTCCGAACTTTCAAGTTCAGCCAGACAGGGGGCCTTGAGCAGCCTCTTTCTCTGAGGGGCTGACTGGGACCCTGGGGCCTCGGTCCTGGAGGTTCCCTCTGCTGCACCTGCCCCATTCAGCAGTGACAGGGTACTCGACGTCCTCCTACCCATGTAGGGACTGAACTCATCTACACACCACCACAAGACAAGCAGAAATCAGTCATCCAGACCAATCAGTGACTTGGAAATGAATCCCAAAACTCAGACTTAAGAAAACAAAAGATATATGCAGGCTATAAAGGCATTTGGTAATTTACTTGAACATATTTATTTGTGTCATTGTCTAAAATCAAAATATAATATGTTAATGAATTTTAATAGCTACATGTTATAATTAAATAGCTTATGTAGCTAGGATTCCCAGATAAGTATCTGAGTTTTGATATTCATTTTGCGGTAAAAAGCAGAGGGTGAGTTTAGTTGGTTTGAAAGAAGCCAAAAAAGCAGGGGTTTCACACAGAGCATGAATGTTTTGTTGATACAATATTTAGGGCCATATGTTCAGGCAAAGTAGGAGTTGATTACGAGTACTTTATAATGACCATCCTTACCAAATGTCAATCTTTTGAGAGCACTTGCTTATGGGGCAAAGAACTTGAATGCAGCAACATACTGAAAGTTTATTGAGTTTATTTAAAGAAAGAATTTGGGGTGTTATGAAAAACTGGGGAAGAAAAAAAAGCTAAGAAACTATTTCCCTTACTGACCCAAACGTCTTCGGACAGGCACAAAGCAAATATTGACTGACTAGTGATCATTTATGGCGGAATTGAGTTTTAAGGGAAATTTGCTACCATTAAGCATTTTTTCTTAATCAATGCACTCTTGTCTTTATCCCATAGACTGCATACAGTATGTAAATGGACATAGCAAACCCGCAAGCAAATAGGACGTGCTGATGGGGGCACTTCCGGCTCTATCCAATTAACTTTGCATTGGAAAATTGTCACCCCCTCCATAAGTGCTGCTGTAAGTCTCATTAATTTGATCTTAAAAAGTTTGTATTAACCTGCTCTACGTGATCGTGGTGTTTTTTATCGTGCTATTTTGTCCATAAATAAATTCCTATTCCTAATATGGAACTTGATTCCAAATTCGCTCCTATGACCTCTAGCATCGCAAGCTTTATTTGACTAGAGCTGCACACTATGGATGACATCACACCCCCTTAGTCCACTTCTTTATGCAGTCTATGCTTTGTACCAAATACCAATTATTTCTATTGTAGTTCACGTAGAATGAAATAGAGGAAACATTAGTTGACAGCCAGGGAGGTTGCAATAGGTTGTGTGGTTATGAGGTAATCCAGGCCATTTTATCTGCATTTTTGCTTAGGTTTATACTTTACCTAGTCCTGTACGAAACAAGTCCTGGGGCATACTGCGAGTTTTGCCAAAACCTAAAATGGGATACCTTCTTCGTTACAAATAAAGTTTCATTTCATAATTCACCTTGTAGACCACACATAGTTGCTATTACTTTCATCATAAAACCACAGACTTTCTTCCAAACAGTAGAAGTTCCCAATTAAAAAGAGAGATTTCTGTCAATATCCCCAAAACTGGTAAATCCAAGTAAATCTAAAAATGAAGGACCTGTATTTTTGTATGAATGAGAGGTGATAGAGCGTGTGCAATGGTGGGAGACATTGGCTGCAGCAGGACAAAGCATCTACCATTAAAAAGTCTACAGTAATACTTGGCACAGTTACAGCTTAAATAAAAATGTCAATCCTGTCTCATTATATTCCTCTCACGCAAGAAAACCATTTGGGACTGCAGTGAAGTTTGAGAGACTCTAAAAGTGTTTTTGGCCACAGAGAGAGCCTCATTCAAACTGATTCTGCAAAGTCACTGTGGAACATAGAGGGCTCTTTTGTGTAAAACCTGGAGAACATTTTCTGTTTACAGTCTTCATTCAGTGGAAATATTAAATGTTGTCAAGCAGGTCCTAAATCACACAAAGACTCTTGTGAGCTTTTATGTTATAATGTTGTTATCTCCTCAAAACCATACTTGGAGTTGTGTTTTGTGTCATTCACACATATTTGAGTAATCCTACATTATGAGTCTGTCTACATTTCCAAAGCTTGTGATGTCATGAAACAGTTTTCAAGTTAAAAGCCAAGTTTTACTTTTGTTTCTTAGAGTTTGGCAATTCTGGAGTGATTCTTGTATTACCACATGACATCAGACAGTGGACTAGAGCATTTTCTGTCTTCTGAGAGAAGAACTAAATATGCACGGTTTGTGTGTTAAACATGTGTGAATGAAACAAAACATAACTTCAGGGATGGTTTTGATGAGGAAAGGATCAGAAAATATGGGCCCTTTAATGTACGTGTAGCACCTAAATTACTCCAGTACAATAAACCAAATGATTTTTACCAGCTTCTTCTGCCCATAGACCAGTGTCCCAAACCATTACATGATGTCCCAACAACAAACAGCAAAGCATGAAATGATCACAGGTACATACTTAAAACAGTTACATATGCGTGTGTTAGTTTGACTAGACACAAAGAAGCCAGGTAAGCAGCAGGTGAGACTTTACCTGACGCATCAAAACTGACAGACATGCTAAGTGGCCGAATTACTGTAAAGAGAAACAGTCATGGCATCGCACATTGTTATTTAAGGAAAACGACTTACTGATTAGGGCTTATAGACAAATAGCAGTAGTTAGCATGTTAGCATGTACTCTTAGCATTACACAGTTTGTTAGCTGAATTACAGACACTTAGCATTATTATTTGTAGCTTTCACTATATTGCAAACAATATAGGAAAAGAAATAATAAGAGGCAGTACTAGTAGCAACAGAAATATTGAAGACGACATAAGCTTCACAAGCAAATAATAATAATAATACAAAAAAACAACAGTAGAATTACAGCTGTTTGCTTTTCAGGTTAAAGATGCAATAGTCAACGGTTACATTACATGGGCTGAATGATTATTTTTTCAATTCTACAGGCAATTTCTCAGTTCAGCATGGTTATAAGAATCAATTTGTGTTTTTTGTTCATAGAGCACATAATATACAAGTAAAAAAAGATGAGAGGACACTGACTTATAAATAAACTGAGGTCAAAGAGGTTAAATAGCTTAGCAGGTTAAATACGATAATCTGACAAAATACCCCAAAATGGCTGTTTGTGATTCTCTATTTGAAACTTTTCAATGTACCATTTTGTATTTGATTAATCATTTAGCCCATCAATATTTAGTGTATAATTATGTAAGGAGTGTATACTGTAAATAGTGATTTGAGTCTTACCTAGCCTGCTTTTGCGGACCATATCAGGTGACACAGGCCTCAGTTTCCTCTCAGACTTGATCTCCTCCAGGATTCGCTCATGAAGAGTGGGAGGGGGCTGCGCTGGAGGTTTCAACTTACGCGCTGAGACCTGCCATAGCAATAATGAACGTGAATAGGATCTATAATAAAAAACACCAGTGCCACAAGGGGTGAAGTGCTTTGCTCAAAGACACAAGTGCAGTATGAACCAATAGAAAGAGCCACTAACTATTGAATCTATTGAGCAAATGCCACTCAAAGCCTTAGGAATAACATGTCTACTATATAATTATAGTCATCAGTGGATCAGTTTTTAATATTTTAAATAGCAATATTGGTCTGTTAAGTCTACTAACTTCCAAAAATGAAGGACTGATTTCAGCTTGCTCTTTTAGCACTTAAGTCTGGCTGTTCTGATAAGCTGTCGTAAAGTTGATCATTTATGAGAATCATAGAGTTCCATCATGTTAGAACCTAACAACATGAGGTTTGAAGCTGTGACATATCAAACGGAACCACACAGACTCCACAAACATGAGGAGTGCTATGACAAATGAAGAAAGAGAAAATATTGTTAAAAATTGTTCATTTTACTCACAGGGTTGAGAGGAGGTCTAGATCTGATGAACTCCAGGATGACTTCATGGGCACTTTTCTTTAATCTGGGAGGAATGTCCCCATTCACCTGTGTAGAAAAGCATAAATATTATCAAAATGCAACAAAGTACGTAAATCAGAATCATAAATATGCAACATCTGGTGTCCAGTGTGCATAGTTTTATTTCATTTTATATATTTTACATATCCCAACATTTGCTTCACAGGATTTTACATAAGAAAAACAATGAAACTGATGAAACTGACCATGACTTTGCGCAGTTTATATCTTTTGGAGCGAATGTCATCCATTAACATCTCATAGGGGGTGAGTTGGTACTCAATGGGCAGAGGGTTGTACTGACGCTCCTGCACCTTCTTCAGCTTTACTCCGTCACGAAGGTTCCGCATCACCTGTACCCAGCACCGTGCCTGAGACACACCAAGAGAAGAAAAATCACTTCTCTACTATATACTATATGTCTTTAGTCTGAGTTTCTGAGTGTCATACAGGAACCCCCTACAAACTGCCCTGGCATGACACTGCCATTACTATTATTTGCAAATGCTGAAAATGTCTTTATGAACATACCCAGTCTGCATTTTGTAGTTCATTGAGCTCTTGGCCAGGCTCCTCTGAGGAATCTTCCTCCATTTTACGCAGATTCTGGTTAAAAAACAACATAAAACATAAAAACATAAGAGAGGAACCCAGATTGTTTATCTTAATAATTTAATCAAAGAATATTGTGTACCAGTAGTTGTCAAAAAGAACAACAAATGTAGACATTTCTTGCAAACACTACAAACAATACTCATGTGGAGTTAAATAACAATCTCAGTCACACATGTTAGATGGTAATTTCATAATGCATTTATCCACATTATGTCAGTCATGAGAGAATATTAAAGCACAATATGTTGCTAAAAAGATATACAACGATAAACAATAGTAATATGTTTTATGACACTAGCACGATAACAATAAAGGAGGTAATCCCAGTAAACATTTTTTAAATTGACAGTATCATTAAGAGGCATGAGCTACAACAATTAAAAAGCAGAGCAGTAATTAGACATAGGAATTACTTTTTCAACCCTCTGTAGCTCAAACCTTTTACAAAAAAAAAACAAAAAAAAAACAAAACACAAATCTCCCCACTATTGCAAAGAAACATGATAAATATTGTGCCCCAAAATATATTGTTCCAGCTTTAATTTATTGAACAATAAGTCGATATAGTAACTGTAGTGACAGGCCTAGTCATGAAACTGACAATGTCATATTTGCAAATACTGAAATGCTGTGCCATATAATAGCAAGAAGAGCTATTCTTGTGGCTTTATCCTACACAATATCCATCAAAAGGTCATTCAAAAACTAAATAAATACTTTATTGTATAGGCTGACATAGAAGAATTTGTTACACTTGAAGCAGTAATGAGAGAAGAAATTGTGGTGTACTTGTTATGGTAATGGCATATAAAATGTAGTAATAGATAAAGTTGCTGCAGTACAAGTAGTAGTTGCAGGTTTGACATATGCATAGTAGGTACAATACTACTATCACTGGTAGTAGTAGTACAAGACCAAGTAGAGTTTATATTATCTCATTATGCTATTAATTTGAGTGACAAATCATGTAGCCCCTTCGGAGCAAACATTTGCATTTCTAAAGGGTCCCAGGGTTGTTTTAGTGATGAGGAGAGAATCTTAATTAAACCCAGAGCAAACAGCAGCTAAATGCTCATGTCAGTAGCTAGGACACTGCTCTGCTTGCCTACACTCTGTCACTCTTGTTGCAGACATAGCAGAAGCCTATAGTTGATTCAGTGAATGGTGAATGATTCAACAGTTTTTTTTTTATTGCATTTCTTTCAGCGGGAGGTGACTTTGTGGAGACAAAAAGAGATTCTGTCAGCAAATGTGGGGTTGTGGGGAACAGCTACAGTGCTTACAGAGAATGGAGAAGAAAGCAGCAAGAACTTAAATTAAAAGGAAACACAGCACCCATGCATGTATAATGTAGACCTCAATATTCTATATTATTCAATTCAATATACTATTAGTTACAAAATTCATAAAGTCATAAGTCTCTCAGAACAGATAAATAAAGAGGGTTCACTGGACTGGCTCCACCTTGCAAGGATAAAGTCTAGACCCTTGGCCTTAACACAGACAAATTATTTAACTTGTTCCAGGCTAAATAAAGTATTTTATAGCATACCATATCAGGAATTTGCTCATTCTAATTCTGGAAATAGCCAGGAAAGGTTTTATTTTCAGTTCAATTTTGACTATAAACATTTTTATCAAACAATAAAACTAGACCATCAGTTGGATTAGTTGTAATGTAGAATATTAAAGACATAAGCTCAATGGTGGAAGTAATTCAATCTACTATTATGCAACACTCAGGGTCTTTCAAGTTGCTTTCTAGTTCTAAGAGCTGCACTTGTCCCCATGTCTTTTTTTCTATGGCCACCTTTTCAGCTTTCTCCACTCTGCAATAAGAGACTTTCCTGACAGCATTATGTAACCGTCCAAATCCCCTCCATTCATTCGGACACAGTAAAAAGGGCAGGAGTAGAAATGGTACATAGAGGAGAAACCCTGAGGAAACACCGACCTTTTTCCACAGCTGAGATCACAACAACTTATACAATTTTTTTGAAGTACATAAATATATTTATAGGGTTAATTATAACTTAAAGGTACTATATTATGCAAAATTGACTCTTGTGAGTTTTTAGTTCTGTTAGAATGCTGTTACCTCATCAAAAACATACCTAGAATTATGTTTTATTTCATTCACACCCTGCATTATTAGCCTGTCCACATCTCCAAAGCTCAAAATGTTTTGTACCACCTTATAATGTCATGTAGTATTTTTCAAGTTAACACCCACCTTTTGCCTTTAGTTCAGAGCTGTGAAAGTGTATGATGGAACATTTCATGTACTACCACATGACATCCCTATGTAGAATAGGGTGTTTCCTTGTTTGAGAGAGATGAACTCAGCCTAAATATGCAGAGTTTGTGTGTTAAACATTTGTGAATGAACTAAAACATAATTGTGGGTATGTTTTGATGAGGAAACAACATTGTAACATAGATCAGAATGTAGCTCAATTTGGGCCCTTTAAAGGTAAATTGTGTACTATTGTTGCTTTTTTGTGTATGGGTGGTTGACAGCTGGAGAAAAAACACTAACTACAGGCTTAGGGAGTGGTACAGCTTGGACAATTGTCTGTCCACCATGGGCCGAATTGTGGGGGAAAAGTCCAGTGCTGTTTTTTGGTCCCAGTCCACCCCTGTTTATTGTCACATTACAGACATAGAGAGTGGACAGACATACAGACATACAGACATCACCACCCGTATCTCATGTGTAATCATTAAAGTGTTAAGAACAGCTTGTTATGCACACTAAATGCACACATTAGAACCATAGAGACATAATGACTTTACAATGTGGAGAGACTTAATCGTCAAGATATACAATCACAAGACCAAGTAAAAACTCCTTGTTAATGAATTCCTGCTTTGAGCGTCAACATTTCCGCAAAGGATCAGCTGACTGCACTACTGTCTGCAGGCTATAGTTAAAAAAAAAAAAAAAGTGCTATTACATGCAAGCAAACATAATTAAGCATGATATTTGGTTTAAATATATAACGGGTTGTTGAACATACAAAAAATATTCAAAAAGTTTAATACATCAGCATATCATCTTTATCATATCCATAAACTGTATTTTTTTAAATATAATTTTCTAAACCTTTATACCAAGGATGCACCGATCCAGCTTTTTCAGTTACAATATCAATTTTGATACTATAGCTTTAAATATCTGTTGAAAACCGAAATCAACCCCGAAACTGAGAACAATTTATTTCCATTAAACAAAAATAAAAAAGACAAAACTGATCCAAATGTGTTATGTAACTGTTATTTAACCCTCAAGTAACTACAGAACAGTTTTGTGTAATTAAAGTTAAAATATTGTGAGATCAAAATAAATGATCCTTCAGTCCAATATAAAAACAACATTAAGTTGTTATTATCAAGTAAAATTTGTCTTACTTCTTTGGCACTTTTGATCTTCTCCAGAAATGTGCGTAACTCCCTTGTTTCAGTGTAAAGTGCCCGGCACACGGCTTGATAGTGACAGGAGGCATTTGACAAGCTGGGCAGGTGAGCAGTACACAACTAAAGAAAAACAAATGCAAATTTTATTAGATTATATTCATACATTAGATTAGTTTTGTTGACAAACTGATAATTGTGTGAGTATGAATGTGTAAATCAATTACTGTTGAGTGATGAGTAAATATATGATAATCTTAGTTCAGAAACCATTCAAATGTTATTAGACTATAATCAGGATAGTGAGATCATCCCTCTTTAAAAGGCCCTATATTACTCAAAATGGATTATTGCAAGCTATAAGCCATTTTAAAATGTTATGTTCATAAAAAACATACCCAGAGTTGTGCTTTGTTTCATTCGCACATGTTTGAGTAATTCTTTATTATTAGTCTGTCTACATTTTCAAAGCTCAAAATGTTCTGCTCCACCTTGTGATGTCTTGAAGTAGTAGTTTTCAAGTTAACAGCAACCTTTTACCTTTAGTTCAGTAGAGATTGGCCATTTTAAGGCTGAAATTATCCAAATGATTCTAGTAAAGGTGTGTGGAGTTTAAGGCATAGTGGAGCATTTCCTGTATCACAACATGACATCACAAAGTGGAACAGTGTGTTTTCTGTTTGAGAGAAGAACACAGCCTAAATATGCATGATTTGAATATTAAACATGTGTGAATGAAACAAAACACAACTCCATGTATGTTTGTGATGAGGAAACAACATTAAACCAAAGACTAGAAAATGGTCTAATATGTGCCTTTTGAGTTCTAGACATATATATATATATATATATATATATATATACAATTTATTCTAATAGACCTACTATGGTTACCAGCTGTATGGTAAAATCTATGAATTGTTGGTGTGAGTGACATGTAAATGTATAGTATATCTCTTGTGTGTTAGTTCTACAGTACAGTAGAGCAGGCGTTTGCAGTGAGAACACACAGTGAGTGACTCAGGGAATGAACAGAGACGGCAATTTAAAGAGGCAGGAGCCCGCCGTCAGCAGCAGATCTGACACAGCCCTCCAGAGAATAATGTGCGTTTGTGTGTGCGCGTGTGTGTATATATATGAGGGAGTTATGTAAACAGTATAGAAGCATGTGAGGCAGGACAGGGAGTCTCTGCTACATTAAACACAGAGAGAAGCCAGGAAAGAGGATGTGGTTGCAGTTTCACTGTTACAGGCAAAAAAAAAGTGTCATTTTTTAAACAAAGGAAACTTGACTAAAAACTAGAATAACAAAGGGGGCATGTCTTTTCTGCAGGAGAGAATGCCATCTTAATTGTTGACATGGAGATGTTATTACATTGCCTGGTATGTTCCACATTATGGCATTAAACTCTTCTAATATATTCATGGAAACAAGCAGGTGACACCAAGTTTCTGGTCAGATGTGTAAACTGGCGTCCAGCAAGAATGCCTGTTTTCTTCTGTGTCATAAAAAACATCAGTAATCCAATAAATGCAAGATATACATTTTAGTGCAACAACATATGTACCTTGAGTATGTCTCTGTATCCATGGACACTGTGGACCCCGTCAGAGTCTTCGTCTGCCTCCTCCTCTTCCTCTGTTGCCTCATATCCTTCGTCAGGACAGGGGTCAGAGTCGGCCATGTTGGTCATGAGGTCGATGAGCTGCTCCAGAGGTGGGCTCAGCTCTCGCTCTTCATTGTCCTTCAGCCCAAAGTCCAGCGCTTTATAGATCATGATCCCAAGAGACTCAATCACCTATAAAAGACACAAACTATGTAAAAATGTCCCAAACACAATTCATTTCAAAGATCATATTTAGTGTATATGTGTAGGTAATTCAATGTCCATTCAAATCAAAAGAGATCCTTCAATCAAAACCTGGAGAATTCAGTCAAACAGTCATTGATTAGACATGTATTACTGCTAATATTGCTTTTTTTGCTTTAACGTTTATCTGTATTTTCCAAGTTACAAGGCAGAATGGCAGAGGTAAAACAGGTTAAATTGTTCTTATGCTCATTCAGGATTCTGGTCAAAATATATCCACCATATCCACACAGTAACCATCTAATTTCTCCGGCTGGTGACAGTAAAGCTGACCTGTGCCTGATTTTGCGCTGTGTTGTCTGTTTGGGATGATGACCACTGCTACACTTCACAGCTCACACATCTCTTCACTTACTCTGTCCATTTAGTCTTTCTGCTCCGATGCTCTCAGGCCTGGGAACCATTTGAGTGGTTGGATTTTCAAAGGCTAATAGCAGCATGTTTTATGCCTAACAATTCATTTAGACTTACATAAGAGTGTGAAGACTGTATCTGTTTTTTATTGCAATAGAGGCTTTTCTGCATTTTTCTATAATCGATGGCATCAAAGTAAAGCATGGTTCATGATCACATTTTATCTCTTAAGAAAACCAACTGATTTAGACAGAAGTGAGGAGAATGCTCAGTAAGTAATTCATCTGAGATAAACGCGGTACTCTTGGAAAAACTGTAGATTGAAACATAATGTGTTTAAAGTGTTAATGATATGTCCCAGTCTATTCATTGAGAAGACCTCCATGATTTTCTGATATCATATATCAATGACTGCTCAGACAAAAAGGTCCTCTCAGCCATATCCTCCTCAAAACCTTACTGCTATTGTCACAAGGGAGGACACATCACTTCACATGACCCATCCCCCACATTCTCCAAATGTGAATTGATATACCCCTTGATCCAAATGCACCCCCTGGTCCCATGTGACAGTATTTCTCTTAATAGTGCACCTTTGACCGCTTGCTTTTCCTATATGACATTATGCAGCTGGGATTGGGTCTGTAATTGCTTTGCTCACTCATTCCTCACCCCTTTCATCTCTTCACTGTCTGCCTCTCGTTACACCAGACAGTCATGCTTACCGATCCAATTTATTAGTTTATCAACAGTCATACACCCCATAAGCTTTGTGCTGTATGCTGCTCGATTTAAATGTATCACTGTGATTCTCAATTGTATTTAATGTCAGTACATCCCACTATAATCCAGTAACTCTAACTAATTAGACAGATGTTATTACAGTTTATAAGCAAGCACTGTTCTGATTCTGACTCTGTAACTCAGATTTTATGCATTGTGCACCATCAATGGTCTATTCATAATATGCTTTCAGGAAATGCTTAAATCTTTGTTCATGGGTCAGCAGAAGCAGAGTATATTGAATTATTGAATGATAAGAACAAGGAAAATCCATCCAATCTGTTACAAAAACAAAGTCTGAAAAAAGAATGAAGTTTGGCAATTACATAGCAGTTTAAGTCGTTTAAGAGCCAAAACAGAGAAACCAACCAACAGAAAATATTAAACACTACTAAATAGTTCACTATGTTCACAATCTGTACAATAGGTTGGATTTCATAAACAGTAACATAAGTACACATAAAAAGGCCAATACAAACAATAGCAACAAAACCTGATGCTCGTGAGAGGATATACTATATGTCTCAAGATATAATGGAAAGTGAAGTTTGTTGTTTGGTGCCAACTAGTATAAAGAGTTTTAGTCAAGGTAAAGTAATAACAGGGCATGTGTGATAAGATTACTCAAAGAATGAGAATTTCATAGCTCACTTTTGGACAAGGTCAGAATGGTCATTTCTTTACTTTGTTTCCCATTGCCAGAAATATGGTCGGACATAGATTATGTTCATATCTTTTTTGTAGAGTTATCAGACTAACAACAATATCCATTAGCAGTTTTTTATGCAAGGAGGGGAAAGTGATTAGGTTTGAAACTCATGAAACTGATTAGGTTTAGTTAACACAGTTTTATACCTACTGGTATTATATCATATAAGATGTATATACTAAACCTTTTGTATGTTTAAACCATAAATAAATGTTTGTGTGAGATATTACAGTAAATTCACAATTATGAAACATTTGTTGTTTAAATACGTTTGCTGCCAGGTTATCATGTCAACCAGAAACATTAATCAATGACTAATTTTCATTCTCATGTTGACAAACAGGTCTTATATTCTGACCATAGACTGTATAAATAAGTCTATACATTATAATGACGTACAGTCTATCATTCTCATGGGATCCATTGTGACACAAACAGCTGAAACAAATGCCACCATTTCTCCATTTCAAAAGCACTTTATGCTCTTTGATCTTTGACCTCTGAATGTCATATGATGAATACTGTGGCCAATGAGGACATTACACAAAAAATATTTTCTTCCACCTTTAACTGTTACAAGGCCAAGGACAACATGTGCATGTTAGGTTCTCAGTTCTGTTTAAAAGTGCATGGTAAATATTTGGTAATACGTAAAGTCTCAATGCTAATCTGATGGATGTCATTTGTTTAAAGATCCAAATAAGCAAATTTTACTCTTGTGAGCTTTAAGCCATGTTAGAATGTTATATATGAAGAAAGTTATATATAAAATAAAAGGTGGTATTTTGTTTCATTCACTCAAAATGTTAACAGCTACCTTTTACCTTTTGTTTAGTAGAGATTGAAAATTCCAGGTCTGAAATAAATCAAATGATTCTAAAGAAGGTGCATGTAATTTAAAAACACAGTGGAGCACTCCCTACAATTTTCTGCTTTTCTATTTAAAGGGTTGGTGTTTCCAAATGTAATCTGGACAAGAAGGTTGCTTAAGCTTACTAAACACTAAAATGTCCGATTGAGTGTAATCCTTTCCCAGACTTCAAAGTCTTGAGGTAATAGGAGAAGCAAACCCAAGCAGCCATGAAAGTGAAGGAGGAATGTGATGAAAACATAATTTACATGCACCATGAGACAGCTCCAAGATCAAAACTGCACTCACTATGACAATTGCTTATTATTGCATTTTTAAATTGAGAATTAATTACAAAATCTAAATTACAGACAACTTCTTTATGATGCATGCGGCAACTGTAAATAGGGCTGTCACAATAAGACATTTTGAAATGTGATTGATTGCTCATAGAATTTATTTTATGGCTTTCTAAAGGTCAAATCGTATCATACTAGAAAAATATATATGTTCCCCATAAATCTACAGCACAGATAAACATGATTAAAGGGCCTATATTATGCTATATTCTGATTATGTTATAATGTTTCCTCATCACAAACATAACCAGAGTTGTGTTTTGTTTGAGTTACATGTTTTTAACACATCCTGCATATTTATTTAGTTCTGTTCCACCTTGTGATGTCATGCGGGAATACGTAACACAGTAAGTGCTCCCCTTCTTCACTAGAATCATTTGATAATTTCAGCTCTGGAATTTCCCATCTCTACTTAACAAAAAGTCAAAGGAAGCTGCTGCCTTAATAACAACTGCTTCATTACATCAAAGGAGGAACAGAGCAGTTTGAGCTTTTGGGATGTAGACAGAATAATAAACCAGGACTACTCAAACAAGTGTGAATGAAACAAAACACAACTCCAGGTACGTTTTTAAGGAGCTAACAACATTATAACGTAACTCACAGTTTTACTTATTATAAGACCTTCATATCTATCATCTAATGAATGATGAGTGGATACATTAGGTCTAAAATTAAAAGAACATATGTAACATTTTGGCATTTACGATCATTTGTTTTTAGCTCTGATGCCTCACAGTTAATAAATCTGGAGACATGCTGTGCTCAAATGAACCTGAGTCATTGGTGGGGAAGAAAACATCATCTGACTCTCCTGACTGCATCATTTCTCATGGTTCACGCTCTTTCAAAACCAAGAGGATTTCATTTGTCAGCTCTGGGCCCACACGTGTCTGTCGCTGTCCACCGATCTATGGCTAATTCCATGCCAAATATTTCCTTCAATCTTCACGGTGCTAAACTCGAGAATCAAAGAGCAGTTTTGTCAGCCAGTGCATAGGAACTCAATGAAAGCTGCTTAAGAGGGATTTGTCTATGGAATTTCACATTCCCAAAGTCTACACCGACGTAACTATCCATCTGTTATTATCACAGGTCTATTCAACACAAATATGCTATGTGCTAACTTAAACTGGTTACAACTTCTGCTGATAAAGGCAGAGCCAAAATAAAACAGTTTAAAGGTGGTAAAAACCTGGAACATTCTTCCTGAAAACGTGAGACAGGCCTCTACTTTGACAATGTTTGAATCCAGGCTTAGAACAGTTCTGTTTATCTGTGCATTTGACTGAAAGGTTCTTATTCAGCACTTTTCTCTTTTAATGTAAATTTTATGGTGATTAATTATGTGTTGCTTTGTTCGTATTGTGATTTTAAGGTCTTTCTTATTCTGTAAAGCACTTTAAATTACCTTGTGTATGAATTGTCCTATACAAATAAACTTGCCATGCCTTGCCTAAAATCTTTTAAAAGAAAAGCTTTATTTTTTCTATAGAACGATGATTTGTTTGCTTATAATTATTTATTTAATCTGGATAAGTCTATCTTTTCCACGGTTTGGACTTGTGATGCTCTTAGTTATAGTAGTGGTCGTGGCACACAGAGAGGAGGCAAAGCTACTTAAATAGCCCTTTATTATGTCGTCAGATGAGCGCTCACACTGGGTGACATTTGGACAGTTAATAACCAGGAGGAAACCAACTGAGGTCTACAGCTGTGAAAGCCCTAGAAAGGCGTAGAAAAAAAGAGGACTAAATAAACTAATTTATATAATCAAAATCTAAACAAAGAGTAGGATGGTTGAGAAGAAATATATTAACAATTTGCTTGCATTTTACATTTTGGCACATACTGTGTGGTCTATGTTTTGTTCAAACTAGAAATGTAGTATGGACAAATCACAACCTCAAAAAAGTTTTTGGTAAACATCATATATTAAAACAGAAATAACCACAGTGTGTCTGAGCTAATCCTGCAGCTACTAATCTCATGTCATGTGAGTTATAACTACACCCTTTTCAGAACTCATTTGTTGGCCAAAAATTTTAACAGAAATTCATTTGGTCTAATCCTATCCCATAATATTAAAATAAATCTGAAACACAATTACTCTGATCTTGTCATATTTATTTATATTGATTAGTGAATGGGTAATTTTGAATAGAATGATTTCACTCTGTTTGCAACAGAAATCCATTTGGATATGTGTGAACAAAATTATATTTCATTATAACCAGATTATAACAAGCAATTCTTTTTAAATACCCAGGCATATCATAACACCCTATTTTGCAGTGCACCCACACTCATAATAAATAAAAGCAAAGTTACTCACCTCTGCTGTTGTGCAAGGGCTGAATTTGCCTACAGAGAAACAGAAAACAGTATTTTAAAGTCAATACATGCATTAAGTATTAACATTCAGATCATTTGAATCCCTGGCAGCAACTTGACATGGTATGGTATTTATTTGGTCAGCCTGATATACCTTCCTGATTGTGAACTCCAAAACAGCGATTACAATATTATACATTTTTCGATATTTCTCCCACCCCTAATCATTGTTATTGTATGTGTAAAATATTTGTTTCTTATTCATACAAACTCCTTGTTAGCATTAAAGCAAAAGACAATGTTTTCAGCCTCCAAGTTCCAGTTTCACTTTAAAAATCCTGAAACTGGAACCATAGTAATAGAAGTACACAGTATAGCATGTGATCAATGACGACAAGTGAAAAGAAAGCCCTGACTTCAACAAAGGAGAGGGCACATATCTCCAGGCAGTGTCTACGAATGCCTCCACTCATTACAACAGAAACAGCTGACCCAATTAACAAATGAGTTTTTGTAGTAACATACATGCTTTGACATCACTGCATGACCTGGGCTTGCCTCAGCAGATTTTAAAGACAACAGAACATCAATGTGTTTCATAATATCAAACCAGGGAAAAATTAATTTGCCACTGTCTAGGTAAGTCATAAACCTAGAGAATAAAGCAAGAGAAGGGTTTAAAGGTGCACTGTGCAACTTTTCTGGTGGAGAGTCCAACACTTCACTTCGACTCCATGTTGCTTCTTTCTTTAAATTATCTACAGTATTTCATTTAAATATCTCCATGGTGACAAGCAGGCCAAATTAGCAGACCAAGTTACAAGTCAGATTTACAGAGAAGTGAACCTGCTCACAATAATAATGCATGTTTTTGTCGTACTTTTGAGAAATAAAAACACCTGTAATTGAACAAATACAATATTTTTTGATATCAGACTGTGGAACATCCCAGGCAAAGGAATAACATCACCATGGAAAAGTTACTCAGTGCACCTTTAGGGAAATAGTAAAAAAAAAATAAAGTAAACATGACTGAATACAATATTTACAGTCCGCTAATTGCAACCCCTTTGGCTTTACCTAGTATTGAATGCTACACTACTACTAGAATTTGTCTTCTCTTTAGTCTCCTTCTGTGCAGATCTAACTTCAGCATCCTTCTCCCTATATTCATTAGCTCTTCCCTGTACAAACCATCACAATCTGGTCAAACGTGAGTAAACATTTCAGTATGTTCTCACTCTGCCTAATACTATGCCACAGTTTAGTACCAGTTAAAAGAAGATACTATGTTTTTCCTTCACTAAATACACATATCTATCATTTAAACCAATGCACAAACACAAACAAACAAAAACTCTTCCACTGCTGCGTTGTTGCTCTTTCCCTTGCATTCATCAGTCACATTTTTTCACATGCAGCAATGTCCATCATGCTTTTCTTCCACAGTGTAGGGCTACTAGGTTCCTTTCACATTCTCATTATTTTACAATTTTGCTTTTGTGATTTCATTTACATTTGTTGCATTATTTATCTATGACGTTGCTTGGAAAAAAAAGTCACCCCTTTAGTCTCCAATGGTAGCATCCATGCACCTAAAAATAGCCCATTCATTCAAGACATACACAGTGTAAGCTACAGGCGACTAACAGCGTCACCATCACAGCTGTGCTCTGTAAGAGAGAGTTTAAAAGATGATTAAACAGAACAATCGGCCCATTTATTGGATTTAAATCTGAGTGTGCAGCACTTGAGTTTGTAGCTGTGAATAAATGCATGTCTCTGAGGCCCATAGGTAGTCCATTACAGACAGGGGAAGATGGATGAGAGTGCATGAATGTCTAGGCTGCAAACCCGATCACTGCAACCCACTGGATTTAGTTTAACACACTGTAATGTAATGTATCTGGCTTATTAAATACATGTTTAAGTTATGGCAGCATAACTATGATGGGAAATATGTTTGTGTTTTTAGCCTATTAGCAGGATAGTATAAATAAGGGCAGACTTTGTTTGCATAAGTCGATTGTATGAATTGGGTGTGTATTAACGCAAAAAAGGGGCTTATATTGTAATAAAAATGCGCTTGGTGGTAAAAAGCTTAGAAATATGGAAGAAAATTTTCAAGCAGTAAAGTATGGTTCCAGAAAATACTGGAATATGTTTTAGTGTTCTATCTAAAGGGTAATCAGTAGTAGTAATCAAAACTAACTAATATATCCACAATAAATGATTAATAGCTCTTTGACTTCACTTGAGCATGGACCTCCAGAAGAAAAATCTGTTAATATATATTAATATATTAATAAACTTTGATTAGTCAATAAAACTGAAATGGATCCATGTTAAATAAAAACAAAAATATCACACGCAATATTGCTATCTTTCATTCGCTGTCCTCCCCAAAACTTCCAGCTCTACTCGTGAATAATTATGTCAGTTGCCACATACCAAAGCTGTTATTATAACCAGATTAAACAGATGAGACACTGATCTCATGGATGCTATCAAAATCTGAATTAAAGATGGAAAAACACATGACACAAGACCAGCGCATGTACTTTCAATTATGGAGATATGGTGAAAAATAACCTAGTTGTCAAACACTGTAAACGCTGTCACAAAAACAGCAGCAGGGGGAGAGCGGGGGTGGCATGGTCATGGAGGAGCACACAGCTCTTTGTTTATGGTCAAGTATAATGTAGCTTTGACTTTGGGAAAGATGCAGACTTACCTCCTGGTTTGTGTTCTAAAAGCAGGTTAAACAAAACTGAATATTATAGAAAAGCATAAAGACTGCAATTAACCTAAAAGCTTACTGTAAGTCACAAGTTTCGATATAAAGCCAAATGGACAGTAGATTGAATCTTATAGTGATATAATTAACAATTTTAAATGTTCATAGCCCATATTTCTATATATTTTAAACCAGCGTAGCATTATTTTCAAAACCTTAGGGCTGTATAGTGAGTGCATAATATTAGACCATGATTATTATGTGACCATATGGCTACCATGCAGCAATGGGCCAAACAGGCCTAATCAAATGGCCTATCATTGACAATTTCATAATTTTGATTGCATGATTTAAAAAGAGACATAATGGCATATTGTATGGCATATTGTTAAATATTATTTAAAAAGTAGGTCCGGCATTTCTTTTATGCTCGGGCAAAGGCTTGCAATAAGATGCTGCATAAGATAAATGTTCAAACAGTAGCCTTCCTCAATTACAGGCTGAATTAAAAGGCTACTTCTAAGTGGACTAAAAATCCCTTGGCCCACCCCAACTTTAATCTCATAACAAATGTGTGTACCTAGCTATGTGCTTAGGCTGTTACCTTCACATGTTTGGTGCTCCACGCGTACAGATCCGTCTTTGAGTATCATAACATCCCCTGGCCCTGATATCTTTCCCGGGGACGGGGCTGAGGATGCTCCGGTCCCGGTAGAGCTCCTCCTGGAGGCCCGGTATCCCTTCGCCATGGTCCGGCAGCACTGGAAGCACACCGCCCATGCCTGCTCCTCATTGATGGGCTGGTTATAGAGCCTCAGTATCTCCTCCAAAGACAGCTCCTCCGTGGGACTGAGCGCCGCCGCAGCATCCATCAAACCAGCGGATCCAGGCCGAGGCTAGACCAAAGCTAACCCCAACACATGCATGCTTTCCCCGCCTGTCCGTGCAGTAGTCGCGGTGGTGGAGGATGATCGCTCCGGTGTAAAACACGGTTGGTTCTGAGTGTGGGTGTCCGTGTGTGGCGTGTGTTTCTGGAAGCTGAGAGCCTCATTTGTCTCCCTCATCACATGACCCTCCTCCCGCTTTGCTCCTACCACTCACTCTCCATCCCTCCAGTCCAGAGCGATAATGCCGTCAAGATTATCGTGGCTCAGTTTCATTTAGCTTTAGTTAATAACCACCGAGCCTGACTGAGTTAGATTTGGGATCGCAGCGAACTCAAACAGCCATCAGGCGCTCCTCGGAGATCACGAATGGGCAGATAAACTCACCAGGTGGAAGAAGAGCTCCGAGGCACTCCGATATGCTTATGTTATTTATTTTTATATGCAGTATAGAAAGCGCTCCCAACATACATTAGTTGCCTCTATTGTCTTCCCCGCTCTCCTGATTTATAAAGTGTTCACTTAAATATTGCTAAATAGTTTGAATATACTTTAACATGCACTTTTCTCAATTGGCCCTTGGTTTCTGAAGAAGTGTCAAATGTAAATATATGCATATATGCAATGCAGCAGTTTCGGGGGAAAAGCATTACTTGCGTCTAAAATTATAACAACCACCAGTCTAAACTCTCAATCTTACCTGTAAAATGAGCATGAGATCCAACTGTTGTAAGATAATTTTATCTATATGGTATGTCCTGCCTTTGTATGCCAATCGGTTTAATTTTATTTTTATTTTTTCCCATAAGTTTTATATAGCGCTTTTCTGGACACTCAAAGACGCATTACAGAGCATTATTCATTCACTCCGATGGTAATAAGCTACTAATGTAGCCACAGCTGCCCCGGGGCAGACTGAGGGAAGCAAGGCTGCCAGTCTGCGCCATCGGCCCCTCCGACCACCATGTTAAACATGTGTGAATGAAACACAGGTATATTTCAGCCAGCCAATAGTGACAAAAATGAATGTCTGTTTCTGGCATTCATTAATTCTATATAGCCTATACATATTACATATATTTATTATTCATATCTAGAATTTTGGCCTAGATGCCCCTCCAAAAAATGATACCAGCTGCCACTGGTCACTAGTTCCAAGGTGGAGCAAAGCATCCGGACAGAAATGTGGATCTGGTCTGGTTCGTCATAGGCCTATTTTGTTCTGAGCGGCTCATGTCCCGCTCCCTTGGTTTTTTCCTGGGGTTTCCAGCTATTACACAGAATAAGACCCCATGGACACGGGGAGGGCATCTGACACACAGAGCCATTTCCGAGCATGTTTGTAGAGGTCTAAACTACACGATTTGCAGCTATTGCACAGAATAAGACCCTGAGGCTCTTAATTTGTTTATTCTCATTAATTACTGGTTGATTCTTCTGATTGATCAGTTTTCTTCTGCCATGTTCCCAGTTGGACTTAATATTAGTTTACTTTAACTTAAATTCTCTTAGGTATGTTAGATTAATTTAACAGAATGCAATTCATATGAATAAAAAATGGAGAAACCCCTTGTGATGATCTAGAAAAAAATACATTTGATTTATATTTATTTTAACTAGGACATATGCTGTACAATGGTTTAATAAATTCATAGTATAAAATATATGCAAACATGGCTTATTTAGCCTAACCTTTTAATGTATTTGTGTCTGAAGACTTAAAAAGACTTGAAAATCTAAGTATAGGACTTGGACTCAACTTAAACTTGTGGACCACTGACTTGGGACTGGACATGGACTTGCCTGTCTTTGACTTCGGACTTGACTTGGACTTGAGGCCAAAGACTTAGACTTACTTGAGACTTGCTGAACAATGACTTGGTCCCACCTCTGGTTAGGTGTATAGTGAACTAAATATATCTAAGCCTATGTAAGATTTTCTATTTCCTGCATTGCGTTGAAACTGATTTATTTTTACATTAGGGTATATAATTTATGAATATAGGCTTAACCTACAAAGTAGGCTAGTCTATTCTTAAAGCAATGTAACTTGGAAGTCTCTCTCTATTCAAGCAAAGCTTAAATTCCTCTAAACAGCCAGTGGCACTGCAGCTGATCATGCGTCACAAGGATTTACTCTCGGAGCAACTCTTTCTGTTTTTCTGCTTTACTTTCTGTATCACATTTTTCCTGTCCTCGTACCCCTGTACCAAGCTTTATCAGTTACAATGACTCATACTAGGATGATCTCCCTCCACAATTTATTTAGGTTATTATAATGATTCACACATTTTTAAGTGAATTTTTTTACTTCTAATACTATTAGGTCTATTACTTCTACTGCAACTGCAACTTCTAACGCCAGTCCTATGCTCTAGATTGGTTAATCATAAATTGATGCTCTTTTACCTCTAATGCGTGTACTATTTTAAGTTATTAAGTTTAAAATTATTAAATTATTTACATTTTTAATTATTAATTATTATTATTATGTTAATACGTTTTTAATTATTAAAAGAGAAAAACAAATCAATAATCTGAAATATTACTGAAGTTGTGAAGAGTTCCAATATTTTTTATTATTCATAATCACTTAGCCACCAATAATTTTATTCAATAATTGAATGACACAATACATCTACAGAGAGCTCTTCTGAACAGCAAATATTCACAACATAAGACGACACGCACTCATAAAACAACTTTATGCTATACAGTGTACTCACAAACCACAGCTGAAATGGATACAGTGGCTTTTGATTTGTAAACCTGGTGATACACTATTGAAACAGCTATACACACAAACACAAATGGAATGATAAACGCTCACTTCACATCAATGATTTGGTTTGTAAACAAAAACAATATTTAAAATAGTTTTGTCCCTTTAGAAACCTCAACCAGTTCACCACTAGGTGAGGGCATGCAGCGATGTGATTTCAGCAGCTCAATGTGCAGTGGTGACAATGAGGCCTATGGACAATAACATGACGGTGGGAGAGGGTGTAACCAAAAACATAAATTAAGAAACCGTGAAAAACGGTTGTCGTTTTGGGCTTTAGGGTTTGAAGTCCAGTAGGTTGCAGTCAATCTTATAGTAGACGTAAGGGTAATATTCCTGCTGGCTCAGGTTCAGTCCCGGGATGTCCATTGCAGACTGAGAAACAAATTAATAACAATAATTTATTGATTATTTATGATGTATTCCAGCCAAATGCATCAACATCTGACTAGGTAATTATTGTTAGACTTTTCTAAAAAAAAAAAAAAAAATCCCCAATCATAACTGCTGGTCTATGTGACTGACCTGCACATAAAATAATAATAATACTAATTTGTCAGTTCACAAATTTATGAGAATCAGTCTTGATTGACTCCCAGGAGTCATCCCAGACTGACAATGTGTTGACCTCAGACTGCTACATAGTGTGTATCCATATGACTTTTGCCAAGTTAGCTGTGGTGATTGAAGTTGTAATAAGGGCATTTAAACAGAAGAGGGCACAGCAGTAAAGCTTTAGAAAAAGCCTTACTCCTCAATCTTATCTATTAAAAAGTGAAATATAATGTTGCACAATGTCTGTTAATAACTGATAAAAAAGTGGAAACAAATATACTCACATCAATTATAGCTGCTGCACTGCTGTCCAGATGTTTGTAAAGATCATTGAGCACTTCTCTCAGTTTCTTCATGTTCTTCTTGTTTGGCTGAAGAAGCATGGCCTGGAAGTTCACTGGAAGCCCATACCTATTAAAAAAATATGACATTAAGTGTGTATTTTTTTGTATTCATGAAAACATATTGATTATCTTTATCGTTTAGATATTTAAAACACGGGAGTAGAAGTTACAATTCATTATTATACCTGAGAACAGACTCCACAAATACCCTTAGTGCTTTAATGTGAATCCAGGCAATGAACGCCTCACTGAAGTTAACTTTGAGCCATCGCACAAGTGGTCCCTGCAAAGAGCAAAGTAAGTTAAGAAAAAAAAGAAGAAAAAAAAAGATCAACAGTGTGATGCAGAAATTAAGTATTGTGTTACATAATGTGAATTGAAGGGAGTTATTGTTACTTCTTAACTGTCACAATATTTTATTTAGAAATTGTAATGATTAAAAATCACAACTGCTCTTGCTTTGCTCCATATCTGAAAAGGTTAGGTGGTTAAAACGCTTTTAGAATACTTAACAAAAATGCTTGGGTCACTCTGGTGGATCAAGAGAACTGCATGGTCTGTTATTGTCAAAACAAACCGGGTGAAAAAAAAAATAATAATAACTCAGAGGATTGAAAAACACTACTACTACTACTACTACTTTATACTCTGGTATTCCTAGCAGTCTCCCATCCAAGTACTAACCAGACACAACCCTGCTTAGCTTTATAAATCAGATGAGACTGAACATCGTCATGGCGATGTTATGGCTACTCACAAATTGTTTCTTTTTATCGGTGGACAGCCGAGTCATCTCCTCTTTGTCTGCCTTCATCTCCTCTTCATTGTATTGAAACTCTCTGACTGTGAATCTAAAATTAAGATTAAGTTTATTATCTGTGGATATCAGTTTCATTAAGAATTAAGAATTGTAATAATGATAAGATTTCACCGGCATTAGTGACAAAACACATCAAAAAGCTGTTTAAACCATTTCACAGACATTCATCTATTTAGATTGATATAGTTTAGTCTAGCATTATGTATTTACACATCTTACTTATTCTCTCTGGCTTTGTGCTTGAAGTCATCTATGGCTTTTCTAAACAGAGTGACACTGAACAATCCACTGTCATAGTCTTCAAATAACAAACTGTAAAGAAGAAACATTTATAATTAACTAAACAAAATTAAGTAAAATAGGTAAAAGCATACATACA